TTAGTTAGTTAGTAGTTAGTTAAGTTAGTTAGTTAGTTAGTTAGTAGTTAGTTAGTTAGTTAGTTAGTTAGTTAGTTAGTTAGTTAGTTAGTTAGTAGTTAGTTAGTTAGTTAGTTAGTTAGTTAGTTAGTTAGTTAGTTAGTTAGTTAGTAGTTAGTTAGTTAGTTAGTTAGTTAGTTAGTTAGTTAGTAGTTAGTTCGTTAGTTAGTTAGTTAGTTAGTTAGTTAGTTAGTTAGTAGTTAGTAGTTAGTTAGTTAGTTAGTTAGTTAGTTAGTTAGTTAGTTAGTTAGTAGTAGTTAGTTAGTTAGTAGTAGTTAGTTAGTTAGTAGTTAGTTAGTTAGTTAGTTAGTTAGTTAGTTAGTTAGTTAGTTAGTTAGTTAGTTAGTTAGTTAGTAGTTAGTTAGTTAGTTAGTTAGTTAGTTAGTTAGTTAGTTAGTTAGTTAGTTAGTTAGTTAGTTAGTAGTTAGTTAGTTAGTTAGTTAGTTAGTTAGTTAGTTAGTTAGTTAGTAGTTAGTTAGTTAGTTAGTTAGTTAGTTAGTTAGTTAGTTAGTTAGTTAGTTAGTTAGTTAGTTAGTTAGTTAGTTAGTTAGTAGTTAGTTAGTTAGTTAGTTAGTTAGTTAGTTAGTTAGTTAGTTAGTTAGTTAGTTAGTTAGTTAGTTAGTTAGTTAGTAGTTAGTTAGTTAGTTAGTTAGTTAGTTAGTTAGTTAGTTAGTTAGTTAGTTAGTTAGTTAGTTAGTTAGTTAGTTAGTTAGTTAGTTAGTTAGTTAGTTAGTTAGTTAGTTAGTTAGTTAGTTAGTTAGTTAGTTAGTTAGTTAGTTAGTTAGTAGTAGTTAGTTAGTTAGTAGTTAGTTAGTTAGTTAGTTAGTTAGTTAGTTAGTTAGTTAGTAGTTAGTTCGTTAGTTAGTTAGTTAGTTAGTTAGTTAGTTAGTTAGTTAGTTAGTTAGTTAGTTAGTTAGTTAGTTAGTTAGTTAGTTAGTTAGTTAGTTAGTTAGTTAGTTAGTTAGTTAGTTAGTTAGTTAGTTAGTTAGTTAGTTAGTTAGTTAGTTAGTTAGTTAGTTAGTTAGTTAGTTAGTTAGTTAGTTAGTTAGTAGTTAGTAGTTAGTTAGTTAGTTAGTTAGTTAGTTAGTTAGTTAGTTAGTTAGTTAGTTAGTTAGTTAGTTAGTTAGTAGTTAGTTAGTTAGTTAGTTAGTTAGTTAGTTAGTTAGTTAGTTAGTTAGTTAGTTAGTTAGTTAGTTAGTTAGTTAGTTAGTTAGTTAGTTAGTTAGTTAGTTAGTTAGTTAGTTAGTTAGTTAGTTAGTTAGTTAGTTAGTTAGTTAGTTAGTTAGTTAGTTAGTTAGTTAGTTAGTTAGTAGTTAGTTAGTTAGTTAGTTAGTTAGTTAGTTAGTTAGTTAGTTAGTTAGTAGTTAGTTAGTTAGTTAGTTAGTTAGTTAGTTAGTTAGTTAGTTAGTTAGTTAGTTAGTTAGTTAGTTAGTTAGTTAGTTAGTTAGTTAGTTAGTAGTTAGTTAGTTAGTTAGTTAGTTAGTTAGTTAGTTAGTTAGTTAGTTAGTTAGTTAGTTAGTTAGTTAGTTAGTTAGTTAGTAGTTAGTTAGTTAGTTAGTTAGTTAGTTAGTTAGTTAGTTAGTTAGTTAGTTAGTTAGTTAGGTAGTTAGTTAGTTAGTTAGTTAGTAGTTAGTTAGTTAGTTAGTTAGTTAGTTAGTTAGTTAGTTAGTTAGTAGTAGTTAGTTAGTTAGTTAGTTAGTAGTTAGTTAGTTAGTAGTTAGTTAGTTAGTTAGTAGTTAGTTAGTTAGTTAGTTAGTTAGTTAGTTAGTTAGTTAGTTAGTTAGTTAGTTAGTTAGTTAGTAGTTAGTTCGTTATATATATATAGTATGGGAATTGATCCACCACCTCCAGTCTACCAGACTAGAACTCTAACCACTAACCTACCGGAGGCCACTATATAAACATAAATCCCGAAAATGATGTTTACAAGGGTCGGCCCATGTTTTGCCCTAGCCCCCATAAAAACGGACTTTCAAAAGCCCTATTCGGGGGGTCCGGATTTCAACGATTTTCAATCGCGTTTGTCCTTGAAACAAAGAAATTGCACGTTTCAAATTTCATGAAATTACCTCTAAAATTGCGATCTGTAGAGTGTGCACAATATTTATATGTACACACAGACAGACGGAAGGACGGACATAGCTTAATCAAAACAGAAAGTGATTCTGAACCGATTGGTATACTTTAAGGTGGGTGTAGGATCAATATTTTTGGGTGTTACAAACAACAGCACGAACGCATAATACCCTCCCCACTATAGTGGTGTAGGGTATAATGAACATATTGTATGAACACTTCTTGATTTCATTTTGCCATTTTGTTCTTTTTTTATGGACAATTCACTGACTTCAAAATATATTCATAAATTTTTAAAGATTTTCTTTTTTCAAGTGTCAAAACAGAATTCTTGATTGCATGTCAGCAAACCAATGTACATAGATAGAGGAAGAAATAAAACAAATAGTAAAGTGTAGACATGAACTAGTAATTTTTAAACATGCTGCCATTATTAATAATGATAGTTGACTCCTTGTGGAAAAATTACTTAATGGTAATGGTCCCCTATAATAATCAGGATGATATTTGGAATTTGGCTTAAGTCAATTATGGACCGAGCTCTTTTAAACTAGCAAAATATTAATTTTTAAAAACAAAATATTTTTGTTAAATTTTTAATGCGTGAGCGTATGAGTAATTTTCTGAAGAGGAACTTATATATGCGTCAATTATGAACCGATACTCATACAATTTTGTATATAGATTTTGTTATACCCTACACCACTATAGTGGGAAGGGTATTATGCGTTTGTGCTGATGTTTGTAACGCACTAAAATATTAGTACTATACCTTTAAGTATACCGATCGACTCAGAATCACTTTCTGAGTTGATTCAATTATATATAAATATATAAATATAAATCTATGCAGCCCATTTTATCGGAATCGGTTCACATTTGTTCCTATCCCCCATATAAAGCATCTTTCAGAAAATTAGTTTTTCGTCAATAAATTGCTTAAATAAATCGGAATCAAGGTAATATTCCAGATAAATGCTTTATTATGAAAAATAGATCACATTTAATATTCATTACTGGTGTAGGGTATCATATGGTCGGTCACGCCCGACTATACTTTCTTACCTGTTTTGTATAGAACTTGTTTATGTCAAATTTCATCGGTATACTTGTATTTTTAAATAAGGAAAACTTGTATTTGAATCACCAAATCTCTCCTCTGAAGGAAACCTTTTATAGGGGCTAGGATCAGTTATAGATCAGTCCTCATTAAATTCAGAAAGAAGAATTATGTTCATAAGTAAAAACTTTTTTATGTCGATTTTCATCGCTGTACTAGTAATTTTCTGAATCCTCCTCAAATTTTCTAAAGAGGACCTTATATGAGGGGTGCGGTCAATTATTACCTAACACAACTTTTTGTTGACCGATTTTGGTTCTTATGAAACTTGTTTACATTGAATATCATCGCTGTACTCGCATTTTTATGCCAGTAATTAGCGTTAAAGTATTTTTATGAAAGGGCTTATATGGGGCGTAGGGTGAGTTACCGACACATTCCGCATGAAATTCTGTAGAAAGATTAACGTTCGTATAAAAGTTTTTTATGTCAAATTTCATAACCGTATTTCAAAACTCATATTTTAAAGCCAGCAATGGTCGTTTAAGTAATTTTCTGAAGGGGACCTTATATGGAGGGTAGGGTCAATTATGTACCGATCCACATACAATTTGGTTGAGAGATTTTGGCTCCCGAGGAACTTACTTGTGTCAAATTTTTAACAAGTAATGAACGTTAAAGTAATTTTGTGAAGGGGACCTTCTATCGTCGGAAGGGTCAATTATGAATCGATCCTCACTAAACTTGGTAGAGAGATTTTGGCTCGCATAAAACGTATGTGTGTCGAATTTCGTCTCTATATTCATATTTTTAAGCCAGTAAATAGTGTTGTAGTAATTTTCAGAGGGGGACCTTATATGGGGGTAGGGTCATTTATAGGCCGATCCTAAAAAAGTTAGTAAAGAGGTTTTAACTTATAAGAAACTTACGTGGGTCACATTTCATCGCTTTACTCGTATTTTTAAGCCAGTAATGAGCGCTTAAGCCATATACTGAAGGGGACCTCAGATGTGGGTTAGGGTCCATTATGAATAGATCCACATAAAAGTTGATAGAGAGATTTTGGCTCGCGAGGAATTGTGTAATTGCTATATTCGTATATTTTAGCCGGTAATAAGCGTTAAAGTCATTTTCTGAAGGGGACCTTGTATGGATGGTAGGATCAATTATGGACTTACCCTCACTAAATTTGGTAGAAAGATTCTGACTCGCATAAAACTTATGCGTGTTGAATTTCGTCACTATATTCATATTTTTAAGCCAGTACCGAGCCGAACTTATGCCACGAACTTATACCGAATTTCATCTCTATACTCGAATGTTTAGCCCAGTTTTCTGAAAGGGACGACTATTGCGATGAAATTTGACATAAACAAGTTCTATACAAAACGAAATCTATGTACAAAATTTTATGGGTATCAGTTCATAATTGACGCATATATAAGGTCCTTTTCAGAAAATTACTTTAACACTCATAACTGGGCTAAACATTCGAGTATAGAGATGAAATTCGGTATAAGTTCGTGGCATAAGTTCGGCTCGGTACTGGCTTAAAAATATGAATATAGTGACGAAATTCAACACGCATAAGTTTTATGCGAATCAGAATTTAAAAATTTAACAAAATTATTTTGTTTTTAAAAATCAATATTTTGTTAGTTCAAAAGAGCTCGGACCATAATTGACTTAAGCCATATTCCAAATATCAACCTGATGTTTATAGGGGAGCATTCCTAAAATGAATAGTATTTCTCAACGTTGCAAACGGAATGACAAGCTTATATGTAAATCCCTTAACACTAGTGGTAGTGGTGAAGCGTATAAATACGAACAGAGAAATTATTATTTTTATTTAAACTAAAAATTTATATTTTCTTAGGTCTAATCATCATTTGTACAAATTTCAAAGAATATTTGCAACCACCAATAACATTCCAACATATACCATCACTTGCTGTAGCTGCTTCGATTTTCCCATAATATCTTCCATTCAAATTGCTGAAAGCAGAAATATTGTAATAAGACAATTAATTACATTTAATTAGCGGCAAGCTTTGCTTAACATACCTATAAAAACATTTCCTAAACCACCAGCCGGATTTATAATCTTCAGCACAGTTTACTTTTGTACTAATATCATTGTCACGATCTTTGGTAATGAACATGTGACCTTGATGTTGACTTAAATTGTCAGTAGCATTGCCAGAATATTTACCCACTTTCAGTAATTTATAATTCTCCAATTCATCTTCGACAATGAATTCATCATATTTGGCATATGTTAAAGTATTATTGAAATCTTGTAGTTGTATCAATAGTTCTACTGGCTGTAGCGCAGTCGTTAGGGCATGTAGCTTATCGAGACCGATGAAGAACTCACCTTCAATATTACCGAAGCCCATCTTATATTCTGACCAATTGCGGTAGAAATCTACAGAACCATTAATACGCCTTTGGATGACAGTCCACCCACCACCATCGGTCTGGTTATCACATGATACATAAAATGGTTTTTGTCCATAAATCTTATTAAATATGCGACATTTGTTATTTGAACAATAATTAGTATTGAAATCAGCACAACTGGTGGGATAAGAAGAAGTGGTGCTAAAAATATAATATTAAACCAGTTAGAGTGCTATATTCGGCTATGCCAAATCTATATATATAAAAATGAATGTGTGTTTGTTTGTATGTTTGTATGTTTGAACGTTATAGACTACAAAACTGCTGAATCGATTTTCTTGAAATTTTCACAGCGTATTCCTGTATGTCTGGAATAGGTAATGTACTACTTTTTATTTTGAAATTTCAAGTGGGCGAGGTGCCACGCCCATATTAGAAAATATTAAATCCGTATATTTGAGATAATATAACAGTTAGAGTCCTAAAATTTTGTCGGAGTCACTTTAGTGTCAATATGATTATTTAGGACAAAAAGTAGGCGGACTAGCATTAGGGGGCGTGACACCTCCCATATAAATTAAAAATAAAAATTCGTCTATCTAACTATTACAGTTAGAATCTTAAAACTTTGCACAAATAACTTTAAAATCCATGTTAACATTTTGGGAAATAAATTGGCGGACTACCCATGAGGGGAGCGGCACCTCCCATATTAATTAAATGCAAAAATTCGTTTATCTGGGAAACTAATAGAACTAAATTCTTCATCTTTTGCACTAAGAACTTAAATATTCGTCTGAACATTTTGGATGAAAAAGATCGGACTTCCATCTGGGGGGGGCTTGGAGCCCCCATATGAATTAAATAGAAAAATTCGTATATCTGAGAAACTATTAGAGCTAGAATCTTCAAATTTTACTTGAAGAACTTTGACATTCATCTGAACAATTAGAGTATAACGGGCGGACTTTCAATGGGGGACTTGGTGCCTCCCATATTAATTAAATACAAAATTTCGTTTATCTGGGAAACTAACTTCTACTTCTAACTAAACTTAAAATTTTGCACAAATTACTTTAATATTCATCTAAACATTTTGGAGAAAAAAGGGCGGGCTTTTATCTTGGGGGTTTGAAACCCCCACATGAATTTAATAGAAAAATTCTTATATCTGAGAAACTATTAGATGTAGAATCTTTAAATATTACATGAAGTACTTTGACATTAATGTGAACATTTAGGGAATAATTGGCGGACTTTAAATGGGGGACTTGGCACTTCCCATATTAATTAAATACAAAAATCCATTTATCTGGGAAACTAATAGAACTAGATTCTTCAAATTTTGCATAAATTTCTTTAATATTCAACTGAACATTTTGGGGGAAAACGAGCGGAAACATTTTAATAGAATGATTTATCTATACGCAGAACATACTTATGTCGAATTTTATCCGGATATAATAATTTAATAATGAATTTAGTGGTATTAAGTGATTTTCAAAAGTTAACCTTATATGGGGGCTAAGACAACTTTTGGACCGGTCTGGAAAAAAATCCGTATAAGGGCGTAAGGGCGGGCTTTTATCTTGGGGGTTTGAAACCCCCACATGAATTTAATAGAAAAATTCTTATATCTGAGAAACTATTAGATGTAGAATCTTTAAATATTACATGAAGTACTTTGACATTAATGTGAACATTTAGGGAATAATTGGCGGACTTTAAATGGGGGACTTGGCACTTCCCATATTAATTAAATACAAAAATCCATTTATCTGGGAAACTAATAGAACTAGATTCTTCAAATTTTGCATAAATTACTTTAATATTCAACTGAACATTTTGGGGGAAAACGAGCGGAAACATTTTAATAGAATGATTTATCTATACGCAGAACATACTTATGTCGAATTTTATCCGGATATAATAATTTAATAATGAATTTAGTGGTATTAAGTGATTTTCAAAAGTTAACCTTATATGGGGGCTAAGACAACTTTTGGACCGGTCTGGAAAAAAATCCGTATAATGATTTATATACATATATGTATACAAAATACACATTTATGTCGAATTTTATCCCGATAACTTTGAATGTCAATATGCGTTTAAGTAATTTTCGGAAATGGTCCTTATATGGGTGTTGTGATCAATTATGGAGCGATCAGGAAACAATTTCGTATAATGATTTATATACAAAAAAAAATCAAGTCTAATTTTACTCCAATAGCTTAATCAATAAATGAAATATGTGCGTTTAGGTGATTTTGGAAGCTATGACCAATTAAGGGCCTATACGGAGATTATTTGAAGTGGACCTAGGAGATATTACCAAATATGGACCGATCCAGAAAAAATTTGGTAGAATGATTTATATGCTCACAAAACATATTCAAGTCGTACTTTATCCGGATTGCTTTATTATTCAAAGATGATTTAAGAGGTTTTCGTGAACGGACCTTATATGGGAGCCTATCTGCAAAAATATTTCGTAGAGTGATTCATATAAAGACAAAATATCAAGATAACTTTATTCGACAATGAAATATGTGGTTTTAAGTGATTTTCGAAAGTGGACCTTATATGGGACCTATGACGAATAATGGACCAATCCGGGAAAAAAGTGGTAGAATGACTTATATATACACATAACATATTAAAGTCTAATTTTATCCCTATAGCTTTAGAATTCAATGAAATATATATATACAAAATTTTGTGTTGATACCGATATTTTTGAGGGAGTTATTTATCATAAACTAATTTCCGGGAATACATGGGTATGTATGGGGGCTATGTGAAATATTGAATCGATTGTAAAGATTTTGATCATAATTGATTACTGCCCTGAAAAAATAATGTGTGACAAAATTCATCGAAATATCTTTGGTAGTTTCTGAGAAAACTACAAAAGAATTAGGAAAAAACGTAATTTTTTTCGAGGTAGTCTGAAATTTTTACTCAAAACTTTTTACGTTGTGAACCGATTTTGCTGATTTTTAATACCAAATTGTTTAGGATAATAATAAATATTTTGGGTGAATTTGGTTGATTTCCTTTGCTTAGTTTTAACGTGAACGTGTTTTACACAGACAGACAGTGGACATACGGACATAGCTAAATCTACTCAGAATTTCATAAGGACCCAGAATATATGTATATACCTTGTTGGGTCTTAGATGAATATTTCTTGGTGTTACATACGGAACGATAAACTTATATATACCCTCTATCACCACTGATGATGGTGATGGAAAGAATGAAGAAATAGCTAACTGAACTCATTTGGACAACTATTGCTGGGACCAATAGGTGAAATGTTACACTCATTTGAATAAAACCCTGTATGACCAAAATGTTCAACTTTGACCCCCTCTGACTTCGGCAGTTCTTGACAGATAGAGCTAAAAATTTGTGTCCGGCCTACTATACTCTCTGGCACCACTGATGGTGGTGGAGGGTATAATAAAAACTAAATAAACAAGAGAACAAAGTTAATTTTTAATAAATTTTTGAAATATTTATTGTCATTTAAATTGATCGATAATAAAATCAAAGTACAACTTGATTTAATATTTTTGAATTCAGTTTTTAATGAATCCATTGCAAACTTACCAAACTAAATCTTTGCCTTTGTTCAAGGCCATTAATGTGTTAGCCTCTATAATTATGCAAAAAAAAAAAATACAAATTAAGTAAATTATACATTTTGTATTTCTTACAATACTCATTTATTTCTTACCAATATTATTGATATAACTTTGAACGTATTGACTCAGTTCTTTCTGATCCGATTTAGTTGCTGTTATTTGTAATTTATTTTCCACATTCTTAAGTTTTTCAGTGAAACCTTCTAATAAACCATCGTGGCCTTTCAGTGTTTCCTTTATATATATTATTTCATCTTCATGTTCTTTGGTACGTGCCAATATTTTAATTTCAGTGTTCTGTAAGTTCTTTGGGATATTGTCGACTTTATTCTCCAAAACTTTCAACTGTGAATGTATCATTTCAATGCCTGTTTTCAAGGCTTCTAAATGACTCTCGAAGCGAGCGTAGTCACAAGCCATGAACTCATCTTTCAGCTGTTTAGAAAAAATAAACAATAGTTTACTTCAATTAAGTAGTATTATGCATTAATTAAGTGATAAACGCGGATCTTTCATATGAGTACTGCAGGATACTGAATAGGATCAGCAAAGGTATCTCGTTGTTTAAACTAAAAGAGGAAAGATCTTGTTCTACGGTATCTTAATGAGTGCTTAGTTAGTTAGTTTGAAAGGAGGATGTATATACATTAAATCCGAAGAAATACACCTAGGCATATAGTAGGGATATAGGCGAAACTGAAGGGGTTGTCAAACAAAACTTGTTATTCTCTTCACACAGACGAGTTCTGAGAGAATAAAACACACTTGAGAGAACTAAACGCACTCACAAATATTCTTCGCGAAATTGTGAGGATATTAGCACTTAATAGTTTTTCTTATCACTTAAACTTAATATTTATTATTTTTTGCGACATTTTTATTGTATTTAAAACCCCGAAAATAATTTATATTTTACAAACAAAAAAAAATAAAATATTTTTTATTCTTTGACATTTCATTATACCCTACACCACTATAGTGGGAAGGGTATTATGCGTTTGTGCTGATGTTTGTAACGCATTAAAATATTAGTACTATACCCACCTTAAAGTATACCGCTCGACTCAGATTCAATTTCTGAGTCGATTTAACGATGTCCGTCCGTCCGACCGTCCGTATGTCCATGTAAACGTTGTTATCAAAGTAGAGGACGCAATTTTCAAGATAATTCGATGAAATTTGGAACATATGTTTGTTTTGATCCAAGGACTAAGCCTATTGAAAATGGTTAAAATCGGTCCATTATTTCACCTAGCCCCCATACAACTGAACCCCCCGGAAAGGGCTTTTGAACTCATAATTATGTATAACATATATGTATCTCGATGAAAGTTCGCACAACTAAGTTTCATACAAGCCTTGATGACCTTGCCGAATTTTGAAATGATCGGACTTCATTTGACCCTAGCCCCCACAAAAAGCCCCCTTCAGAAAGTGACTTGAATATCCGCAATTCATTTATTAGCACTGTTATTGTAATGAAATTTAGCACAGACAAATATTATATATATTATATAAATACAAATCTATCCAGCCCTTTTTATCGGGATCGATCCACATTTGCTCCTATCCTCCATATAAAGCCTCATTTAGAAAATAAGTTTTTCGCCAATAAATTGCTTTTTTTTTTGGTCAATTATGGACGGATCCTCGTCAAATTTTCTAGAACGAATTTAGTTTAGGCAGTAATGAGCGTCAAAGCCATTTTCTGAAGGGGGCTAGGATCAATTATGAACCGATCCTTATAAAATTTTACAAAGCGATTTAGGTTCCTGTAAAATATGTTCATGTCGAATTACATCGCTATAGATGCTTCTTTTAGACAGTTATGAGCGTTAAAGTCATTTTCTTAAGGGGACCTTATATGGCGGATAGGGTCAATTATGAACCGATCCTTATAAAAATTTTACAATGATATTAAGGTTCCTATAAAATATGTTCATGTCGAATTTTATCGCTATGGATGCTTACTTAAGGCAGTTATGAGCGTCAAAGCCATTTTCTGAAGGGGACCTTATATGGGGGTAGACTCAATTATAAACCGATCCTTATAAAATTATACAAAACGATTTAGGTATCTGTAAGAAATGTTCACGTCGAATTACATCGCTATAGATGCTTCTTTGGACAGTTATAAGCGTTAAAGTCATTTTCTGAAGGGGACATTATATGGGGGATAGGGTCAATTATGGACCGATCCTTATACAATATTACAATGATATTAAGTTTCCTATAAAATATGTTCATGTCGAATTTCGTCGCTATAGATGCTTCTTTTAGACAGTTTTGAGCGTTAAAGCCATTTTCTGAAGGGGATCTTATATGGGGGTAGGGTCAATTATGAACCGATCCTTATAAAATTTGACGAAGGTGTTAAGGTTCCTATCAAATATGTTTATGTCGAATTTCATCGCTCTAGCTGCTTCTTTTAGTCAATTATGAGCGTTAAGTTCATTTTCTGAAGGGGACCTTAATGGGGGATAGGGTCAATTATTAACCGATCCTTATAAAATTTTACAATCATATTAAGGTTCCTATAGAATATGCTCATGTTGAATTCCATCGCTATAGATGCTTCTTTAAGGCAGTTATGAGCGTTAAAGTCATTTTCTGAAGGAGACCTTATATGGGGGGTAGGGTCAATTATGGACCGATCCTTATAAAATTTTACAGAGCGATTTAGGTTTTATGTCGAATTTCATCGCTATAGATGCTTTCTTTTTTTGTGAAGGGGACCTTATATGGGGGCTAGGCTAATTCGTGGACCGATATTGCCCATTTTCAATACCAAACAAACTGCATGAACATAGCTAGATCGTCTTAGAATTTAATAAGGATCCAGAATATATATATTTTATGATGAATATTTCGATGTGTTACAAACGGAATGACTAAAACAATATACCCCCATCTTTTTTGGTGGTGGTATAAAAATAAATCACATTAAATATTCATAACTGGTGTAGGGTGTCATATAGTCGGCCAAGCCCGACTATACTTTCTAACTTGTTTTAATTAAAACTGAAAAAAGAAAAGTTGTAAATTTTCGTATTGAAAATGAAAAAAGTATTTCACATACTTTTTTTCTTTTTCCACTAGTGCAGAAAAAAATAACAAAAAGTCGTGTTTATAATATGTTTTAAGATGAAATATCTTCTGAAAAAAATTAATTAACTATTATTTTTATTCACTGGTATATAAAATCCCAGTAATAACATACAAAAAATTAAGTATCAGAAATACATTTATTATTTAGTACCTTTTGAACAACTGTGTTTATTTTTGAGCTTCTACTAATACATTCTCACCAGTTAGGTTTTTGACAGGGGACTTAGGTCTTTGACAATCCCTTTCGCCTATATGCCACTATATGCACCTAGGCCTCGGGCCTGTTATGCGCTCCTTAACCAGTGCCTCAGGTGGGAATCGAACCCACCACCTCCGGTCTACCAGACTAGAACACTAACCACTAACCTACCGGAGGCCAATTTCATAACTTTTTATACCCACCATCAAAAAGATGAGCGGTATATTGATTATGTCATTTGTAATTTGAAATTTTCCATAAATTTTCTCTATAGGTAAGGTTTGTTTGGTATTGAAAATGGGCAATATCGGTCAACCTTTTCGGAAATGACTTTAACGCTCATTACTGGCTTAGAAATACCAATATAGCGATGAAATTCGACACACATAAGTCTGATGCGAGTCAAATTTTATATGGATCGTTCAGTAATTGACCCTACCCCCGAGTACATTAGTACAGTCATGAAAAATGAACTTTTGATTTGAACTTTTATAGGAACGTAAATCTTCCTACCAAATTTCATGAAGAAAGTGTCGGGTAGTGATATTCGATGTAAACATGTTATATATGAACCAAAATTGGTCTAAAAATTTGATGAACATTTTTATGAAAAACGGTTAATAATTCAACCTACCACTCATATAAGGACCTCTTCAGTTCATTTGATAAGTAATAATATCCTGATAACTATAGGGCATACGGCATACGGTTTGATGGTGGGTATATGAGATTCGCCACAACCGAATATAACACTCTTACTTGTTTTTGTCTGCAGCAGATATAGCTAGATCTTCTAAGAATATAACATGTAAGAGTTCTATATTCGGCTATGCCGAATCTTCACCACGATGTATTAAAAAAACAGTCAGCACGATTTTTAATACATAAATTCAAAAAATACCTATTATAAAACGAAAACGTACCAGAAAGGCCCGCTTTATTGATTTTCATTCAATCAGGATGTTTCATGTGTACAAAAAAAACTAAAAAGTTCCAGTCATAGAACAAAATAGTACCAAATAGTACCAGAACAAAATAGTACCAAAAGTTCTTCCCTACAGATTATTATCAGCTTAAGTCTCTTAATATTTAATTTAATGTTTCTATGTTCAATATTATAAAAAATTCAAAACGTACCTTTTGAAGATGGAAAAAGTACAAAAGATGACCTTTTATAAAAAATTCAAAAAGTACCTTTTGAAGAAGGAAAAAGTACCAAAATGTCCCCTTTAATTGGTTCCAACTCACTCTGGGCTGTGCATGCTTAATTTCATGTTACTAGATGCAATATTATAGAAAATTTAAAAAGTACCAAAGAGTCCCCTTTTATAAGTTCTTCCTTAATCCGGGCTCTACTTGGTTAATTTCATGTTTCTATAGAAAATTCAAAAAGTTCCTTTTGACGAACGAAAAAGTACCAAAAAGTGCCATTCTATAGGTTCTCATTTACAAAATTCGGATTTCTCAGATATCTGGGTATTCTGAAAACAGATTCCAACATACACACAGACGGATAGACAGACGGGTGGGCGATAAAACGCACATGGCTAAATTAACTGAGCTATTTATAAGGATTTACAATATAGGTTTGGAAAATTATATTATAGAAATTACTAACGGAATGACAAACTTATCACACGAAGGTGAAGGGTATAAAAAGGACCCACAAACCTTTTTTATGGCAGCAATCAAGATTTCGATGTGTTACAAACGGATTGATAAAATCAAACTTTTACTGATGTGGTTTATATAAACTGGGATTATATGTATAAGTGAAGACTGGCATAATTAAAAAATCTGATACTTATCAGTATGTATAAAGTACTGTATGTTTCTCATCTGTATTTAAACTAAACTTTTACTTTTAAAATGTTGAATATAATCATGAGTTTTAGGCTTAACGTTTACAGCAAACAATCTAACTCACGTCGAAAATAATGGACATTTTTAAAAACAGATAAAACTATATGAAAGTCACACATTGGTACGTTGCATATTTTGTAGCATCTAGCCTAAAAAGTCTTGTAGTAAATGACTGATTTGGTTTCTCTTGGACTCCCAGGGTACAATTAACTAAAGTGATTGGATCAAATAAATGGTTCTTTAGAAAATCCACACAAATTTGTTTAAATATCTACACCAAAACAAATAAAAACTTACATCGATTTCGGCATCTACGAAATTATTCGAATTCCAAACGTAGAATATTAGTATTAAATGTAATAATATGTTATAAAACATCTTCTTTTTCGTATAATAGTTTTTGTATTTATTTATTCAATATTAAATGCACAATGAATTGAGATTAATTTTACATGCAGTTTATAAATAAGTTTTAAATTGATAAGAAATATGAATATTCAATCGATTCTTATTAATTGACTTACAATCAGTCGTTTAATTAACTTTGTCAAATGCAGCACAGTGGTTTAGAAAGAACTTTTTTATAATTCATTAACTCATGAACTAAAGGAGATTTGGAGTTAGTTGTATTTATGGTTTCATTGGATGCAGTAGGCGATTTCTTTAAACTCTATAATTAGTTTAAGTGGTTAGTTTTTATTTACATAATAGTTAAAAATATTTAAAATGTCTTTAGATTATTGTAAGAAATTTCAAATTTATATTCCTTATTATCCACCATATTGATAACATTGTATTGCTGCAGACTGGGAAAAATTAACTGAATATTTTTGTAATTTTAAAACTGTTAATTCCTTATTAAAACATCCAAAGAGTGGATGTAATGTTGTGTTTAACATTGATTTTAGTTCTTATATAACCATCTGGGTAAAAGTATATGAAACAAAACAATTCAATTATTGTGAGCATGAGCTCAGGGTCATGGACAAGAATTATAAATTTCTAAATTTTGTCTGCTTACTTTACAACTAGTCAGACATTGCAGTTTTACTAACCTTTATTAAACTCCCAGCTGTCAAATTTGTTTTAGGATTTTCAATACCTAATTGCGCAAATTTCGGCAAATTTGATACTTACGTTTTATCAAACGAATATCCTTAATATTATACAAAATTAACTAATTAGAAATTGTTTTGAACAAGAAAAGATTTATTGACTCTCGTATAGTGCGTATACGTAATATGAAACTCTAATATTGACAAATAATAATCATACGTAAATTACACATTTTTGTGAGACAAAATGTTTAAATACATTTTTGAGACAAATTTTCTTTTTATACCCTCCACCACCATCAGTGGTGATAGAGGGTATATAGTATATAACTTTGTCATTCCGTGTGTAACACCAAGAAATATTCATCTGAGACCCAATAAAGTATATATATTCTGGGTCCTTATCAAATTCTGAGTCGATTTAGCTATGTCCGTCTGTCTGTCCGTCTGTCCGTCTGTCTGCCTAAAACACGCTCACGTTAAAACTAAGCAAAGTAAGTACACCAAATTCACCGAAAATATTCATTGTTGTCCTAAGCAGTTTAGTATTGAAAATGAGCAAAATCGGTTCATACCGGGAAAAGTTATGAATCCAAATTTAAAACAACCTCGAAAAAAATAAGCATTTTTTACACATTCGGATGCAATTTTCTCGAAAACTATGCAAGATAAATTCATGAAAATCACCATGAATAAGTTTCTACACGAGAACTTGATCTCTGCTGAAAATTGCCAGAATCGGTCCACAATTTCATATACCTCCCATACAAAAGTACATATTCCCGGAAAATGGGTTTTTTGTTAATAACTTCCGTCACAATGTCGATATCTTCACAAAATTTAACAAATTAAAATATTATGTCAATAGAATTCATTCAGATAAAAAATTTCTTGATCGGTCCATAATTGGACATAGCTCCCATACAAGGTCCCCTCCCGAAAATCACTTAAACGCGCATAACGCATTACTTAATTAAGATATCCATATAAAATTCGGTACAAGTATTGCTTATCTATACAGAAATATTATTGAGAAATTTTTTTCCGATCGGTCCATAATTGGTCATAGCTCCCATACAAGGTCCCCTCCCGAAACTCACTTAAACGCACATAACTCATTACAAAATAAAGATATCCATATAAAATTTGGTAGAAGTATTGCCCGTATGCACAAAAATATTACTGTGAAATTTTTTTCCGATGGGTCTATAATTAGTCATAGCTCCTATACAAGGTCCCCTCCCGAAAATCACTTAAAACCACATAACTCATTAGTGAATGAAGACATCAATATAAAATTTGGTACAAGTATTGCTCTTATATACAGAAATATTACTATGAAAGTTTTCTTGGATCGGTCCATAATTAGTCATAGCTCCCATACAAGGTCCCCTCCCGAAAATCACTTAAACGCGCATAACTCATTTCTAAAGTAAGATATCTATATAAAATTTGGTACAAGTACTGTTGTATGACTGAGAAATATTGCTGAAAATTTTTTTTCCGATCGGTCCATAACTGGTCGTGGCTCCCATACAAGGTCCCCTCCCGAAAATCGCTTAAAACCACATAACTCATTAGTTAATGAAGATATCCATATAAAATTTGACACAAGTATTGCTCTTATATACACAAATATTATAATGGCAATTTTTTGGATCGGTCTATAATTGGTCATAGCTCCCATACGAAGTCCCATCCCGAAAATCACTTAAACGCGCATAACTCATTACTGAATTAAGATATCCATATAAAATTTGGTAAAAGTATTGCTTATATGCACAGAAATATTACTGTGAAATTATTTTCCTATCAGTACATAATTGATCATAGCTCCCATACAATGTCCCTTTCAGAAAAACACTTAAAGGCACGTAGCTCATTACCTAATAACCCATAAAATATGAGACATAAATATTATTTTTGTACACTTCAAATTTTTTTCATGATTGGCCCATTCTTGGTCGTAGCTCTCATACAAGGTTATCTCCCGAAAATCACTTAAACGCACATAACTCATTACCAAATATTGATATCCATACATTTAGCAAAAATATACATAAATTAACCTATAAAATTGTTGTACGATCGGTCCATATTTGGTCATAGCTCTCATACTAGGTCCCCTCCAGAAAATCACTTAAATGCACAATATTCATTACCAAATAATGACATAGATACAGAATTTTGAAATTTTGTCTTTATATACATAATTGGCCATAGCTCCCATACAAGGTCCTTTTACGAAAATCTCTTAAACGCACATTACTCTTTACCAAATAGAGCTATTGATACAAAATTTGGCATAAATATTAGTTTTGTATACAAAAATTCTATTTCCAGATTTTTTCACGATTGGTTCATAACATGGGTGCGGTCGGTCCCATAAAAGTGTCGCTTCAGAAAATCAAATAAACACTCATAACTTATTACAAAATTACGATATAGATACAAAATTTGACTGAAATATAGCTTTTATGTACAGAAATTTTGCTTAAAGATTTTTTTACGATCGGTCTATAATTGGTCATATCTCCAATACTAGGTCCTGCCCTTAAAAGCGTTTTAACCGTATTTAACTAGTTGCATTATCAATTTGCGTAGAACAAAATTATATATATGTATTTTGAAAATCCTTAAATCTTTCACATACATGCATACATGCAAATTACTAAATATCACTAAGCGCTATTAAAATATAAAGAAAATGGCATTTGTAATGTTCAATAAATCTTATAATAGATTTATGCTGTTTAAATCTTGGGATTTTTTCTATTTAAGACATGAGAAAACTTATTTCTACAAATATTTGATCAGTTAGTAAAGTATTAATATAAAATTAGCTGGTGGAGGGTATTTAAGATTCGGCACAGCCGAATATAGCACTTTAACTTGTTTATAATTCATTAACTCATGAACTAAAGGAGATTTGGAGTTAGTTGTATTTATGGTTTCATTGGATGCAGTAGGCGATTTCTTTAAAACTCTATAATTAGTTTAAGTGGTTAGTTTTTATTTACATAATAGTTAAAAATATCTAAAATGTCTTTCTATTATTGTAAGAAATTTCAAATTTATATTCTTTATTATCCACCATATTGATAAGATTGTATTGCTGCAGAGTGGGAAAAATTAACTGAATATTTTTGTAATTTTAAAACTGTTAATTCCTTTTTAAAACATCCAAAGAGTGGATGTAATGTTGTGTTTAACATTGATTTTAGTTCTTATATAACCATCTGGGTAAAAGTATATGAAACAAAACAATTCAATTGGTGTGAGCATGAGCTCAGGGTCATGGACAAGAATTACAAATTTCTAAATTTTGTCTGCTCACTTTACAACTAGTCTGACATTGCAGTTTTACTAACCTTTATTAAACTCCCAGCTGTCAAATTTGTTTTAGGATTTTCAGTACCTAATTGCGCAAATTTCGGCAAATTTGATACTTACGTTTTATCAAACGAATATCCTTAATATTATACAAAATTAACTAATTAGAAATTGTTTTGAACAAGAACAGATTTATTGACTCTCGTATAGTGCGTATACGTAATATGAAACTCTAATATTGACAAATAATAATCATACGTAAATTACACATTTTTGTGAGACAAAATGTTTAAATACATTTTTGAGACAAATTTTCTTTTTATACCCTCCACCACCATCAGTGGTGATAGAGGGTATATATAACTTTGTCATTCCGTGTGTAACACCAAGAAATATTCATCTGAGACCCAACAAAGTATATATATTCTGGGTCCTTATCAAATTCTGAGTCGATTTAGCTATGTCCGTCTGTCCGTCTGTCCGTCTGTCTGTTTAAAACACGCTCACGATAAAACGAAGCAATAGAGTTTAACCAAATTCACCCAAAATGTTCTTCATTCCGATCGGTCCATAATTGGTCATAGCTCCCATACAAGGTCCCCTCCCGAAAATCACTTAAACGCTCATAACTCATTACTAAATTAAGATATCCATATAAAATTTGGTACAAGTATTGCTCACATGCATTGAAATATTACCGTGAAATTTTTTTCCGATCGGTCCATAATTGGTCATAGCTCCCATACAAGGTCCCCTCCCGAAAATCACTTAAACGCTCATAACTCATTACTAAATTAAGATATCCATACAAAATTTGGTGTAAGTATTGCCCACATGCATAGAAATATTACCGTGAAATTTTTTTCCGATCGGTCCATAATTGGTCATAGCTCCCATACAAGGTCCCCTCCCGAAAATCACTTAAACGCGCATAACTCATAACTAAATTAAGATATACATATAAAATTTGGTACAAGTATTGCCCACATGAATAGAAATATTACCGTGAAATTTTTTTCCGATCGGTCCATAATTGGTCATAGCTCCCATACAAGGTCCCCTCCCGAAAATCACTTAAACGCGCATAACTCATAACTAAATTAAGATATCCATATAAAATTTGGTACAAGTATTGCCCACATGCATAGAAATATTACCGTGAAATTTTTTTCCGATCGGTCTATAATTGGTCATAGCTCCCATACAAGGTCCCCTCCCGAAAATCACTTAAACGCGCATAACTCATTACTAAATTAAGATATCCATATAAAATTTAGTATAAGTATTGCCCATATGCATAGAAATATTGCTGTGAAATTTTTTTCCGATCGGTCCATAATTGGTCATAGCTCCCATACAAGGTCCCCTCCCGAAACTCACTTAAACGCACATAACTCATTACAAAATAAAGATATCCATATAAAATTTGGTATAAGTATTGTCCATATGCACAGAAATATTACTGTGAAATTTTTTTCCGATCGGTCCATAATTGGTCATAGCTCCCATACAAGGTCCCCTCCCGAAAATCACTTAAACGCGCATAACTCATTACTAAATTAAGATATCCATATAAAGTTTGCTCATATACAGAGAAATATTACTGTGAAATTGTTTTCCTATCGATCCATAATTGATCATAGCTCCCATACAAGGTCCCTTTCAGAAAAACACTTAAAGGCACATAACTCATTACCAAATAATGATATAAATAAATACTATTTTTGTTCATAAATAATAATATTTTGTAATGCAAAAAGCACTTAATGTTATTTCAAAAATTTTTCACGATCGGTCTATATTTGGTCATATTTCTCATACTAGGTCCTGCCCCTAAAAGCGCTTTAACCGTATTTAACTATTTGCATTATAAATTTGTGTAGAACAAAATTATATATATGTATGTATTTTGAAAATCCTTAAATCTTTCACACACATGCAAATACTAGATATCGCTAAAGCATATCTTAGGGCGCTATAAAAATTTAAAAGGAAGTGGCGTTTCTAATGTTCAATAAATCTTGGAATTGTAGTAGATTTAAGATGTTTAAATCTTGGGTTTTTTCTATTTATGACATGAGAAAACTTATTTCTGCAAATATTTTATTAATTAGAAATGTATTAATACAAAAGTTGCTGGTGGAGGGTATTTAAGATTCGGCTCAGCCGAATATAGCACTCTAACTTGTTTTTCTTTTAATTCTATTACTGGTGGGGGAGTAATGTAGTGTATCACTACATACTTCTATTTCTTTTAAAAACTTGTATTATTTACTTTATGTTATTATGTTTTTAAATCAAGTTTTATATTTTTATACCCTCCACCAACATCAGTGGTGATAGAGGGTATATATAACTTTGTCATTCCGTGTGTAACACCAAGAAATATTCATCTGAGACCCAACAAAGTATATATATTCTGGGTCCTTATCAAATTCTGAGTCGATTTAGCTATGTCCGTCTGTCTGTCCGTCTGTCTGCCTAAAACACGCTCACGCTAAAACTAAGCAAAGGAAGTACACCAAATTCACCGAAAATATTCATTGTTGTCCTAAGCAGTTTGGTATTGAAAATGAGCAAAATCGGTTCATACCGGGAAAAGTTATGAATCAAAATTTAAAACAACTTCGAAAAAAATAAGCATTTTTTACACATTCGTATGCAATTTTCTCGAAAACTATGCAAGATAAATTCATGAAAATCACCATGAATAAGTTTCTACACGAGAACTTGATCCCTGCTGAAAATTGCTAGAATCGGTCCACAATTTCATATACCTCCCATACAAAAGTACATATTCCCGGAAAATGGGTTTTTTGTTAATAACTTCTGTCACAATCTCGATATCTTCACAAAATTTTACAAATTAAAATCTTATGTCAATAGAATTCATTCAGAGAAAAAATTACTAAAAATTAAAATTATTACTACGAAATTTTTTTTCGATCGGTCCATAATTGGTCATAGCTCCCATACAAGGTCTCCTCCCGAAAATCACTTAAACGCGCATAACTCATTACTTAATTAGGATATCCATATAAAATTTGGTACAAGTATTGCTTATCTGTACAGAATTATTACTGAAAATTTTTTTCCGATCGGTCCATAATTGGTCATAGCTCCCATACAAGGTCCCGTCCCGAAACTCACTTAAACGCACATAACTCATTACAAAATAAAGACATCCATATAAAATTTGGTAAAAGTATTGCCCGTATACACAAAAATATTACTGTGACATTTTTTTCCGATAGGTCCATAATTGGTCATGGCTCCCATACAAGGTCCCCTCCCGAAAATCACTTGAACGCGCGTAACTCATTACTAAAATAATATATCTATATAAAATTTGGTACAAGTACTGCCTATATGACTGAAAAATATAACTGAAAATTTTTTTCCGTTCGGTCCATAACTGGTCATGGCTCCCATACAAGGTCCCCTCCCGAAAATCACTTAAAACCACATAACTCATTAGTTAATGAAGATATCCATATAAAATTTGATACAAGTATTGCTCTTATATATACAAATATTATTATAAAAATTTTTTGGATCGTTCTATAATTGGTCATAGCTCCCATACAAAGTCCCATCCCGAAAATCACTTAAACGCGCATAACTCATTACTGAATTAAGATATCCATATAAAATTTGGTACAAGTATTGCTTATATGCGCAGAAATATTACTGTGAAATTATTTTCCTATCAGTCCATAATTGATCATAGCTCCCATACAAGGTCCTTTATCTATATAATTAATAGGCAAGACGATTTTTTGTGACCCCTTTTACTCTTACCGTATACATCTGATCTTGGCAAAAAATATATCATTTTAAAGGTATTTGTTCACAGGTGTGCACAATATATATATTAATGAGATCGGTTCAGAATTTTAGGAGCTATAAACGTTTAAAGTACGTATTCTTGAAATTAAAAACAAACAAACAAAGCAAGAAACAAAACAGAAAAGTAAACAACACGGATTTTTGAAAAAAGAGAGGAGAGTGCAGAAACGTTTAACTTCTCTGTTGCTGTTTTCTTTTTGTATTTTGCATGATATTTGTTTTTGTTGTTTTTAATAAGATTTTTTGTAAACAAATAAGAATGTAAACAGGCTCAGACAATGCGAAAATAGGATTTTATTGTTTTATATTTTTGTGTAAAGTGCTAAATTGTGAATGAGATAATGATATATTTTGTTACTAAAACCCATCACTAAAACCCATCACATTTTCTAAAAGAAAACATTATTCAAAGCAAATTATACACTTTGATAATATCAATAACGTTAATTATTTTACCACAGATTTGAACTGCAAAAATAGGGTTTTATTTTAGCTTATTTATGCAATTTTTCCAGCATTGGTTCTGGTCGAATTTCGACCGCTGGAAGAACTCTAGTTTCTATAAATATTTGATCAATTAGAAAAGTATTAATATAAAAGTAGCTGGTGGAGGGTATTTAAGATTCGGCTCAGCCGAATATAGCACTCTAACTTGTTTTAATTACTTCTTACAATTTTATATTTTCTTAGGTCTTATCATCATTTGAACAAATTTTAAAGAATGTTTGCAACCTCTACTAGAATTCCAACATATACCAAAATTTGTATTAGTAGATACTTCTTTCGCATGATATTTTCCATTTAAATTGCTAAAAGAATAAAAAAGTTAAATTAAATTATTAACATTAACGGAAAGCCTTGTTTAACAAACCTATTAAAACAGGCATGAAACCACCATGCACTTTTAAAATACTCAGCACAGTTTTTTTCATTTGTATCTAAGTCATTGTCACGATCTTTCGTGGTAAACATATAACCCTGATGTGGACTAAATGAATCAGTAGCATTGCCAGAATATTTACCCACTTTCAGTAATTTATAATTCTCCAATTCATCTTCGACAATGAATTCAGCATATTTGGCATATGTCAAAGTATTATTGAAATCTTTTAGTTGTATCAAGAGTTCTACTGGTTGTAGTTCAGTCGTCAGGGCATGAAGTTTATCGAGACCGATGAAGAACTCGCCTTCAATATCACCGAAGCCCATCTTATATTCTGACCATTTGCGGTAGAAATCTACGGAACCATTAATACGTCTTTGGATGACAGTCCATCCACCACCATCGGTCTGGTTATCACATGATACATAAAATGGTTTTTGTCCATAAATCTTACTAAATATGCGACATTTGTTATTTGAACAATAATTAGTATTGAAATCAGCACAACTGGTGGGATAAGGATTGGTAGTGCTGAAAATGATATTGTTTATCTATAAATATGTATGTATTTATGTTTGTAGTTAAACTATTTTTGTAGAGAAATTTTTGATCAATTGTAGCTTATATTTGATTGATAACTGTGTGTATAGTCATATTTATTGACGATACTTTAATTTATAAGTTTGGCGAATTCGATTTGTTAACTTACCAAACTACTGCTTTGCCTTTATGCACGGCAATTAAGTTATATAGCTTCTAAAATAATAACAAATACAAGTAAAAATTAATTTTTCTTGAAATATATTCATACATTCATATGATGTATGTATATGTATGTATGTATGTATGTATGTATGTATGTATGTATGTATGTATGTAGTTGTATGTATGTATGATGTATGTATGTATGTATGTATGTATGTATGTATGTATGTATGTATGTATGTATGTATGTATGTATGTATGTATGTATGTATGTATGTATGTATGTATGTATGATGTATGTATGTAGGTATGTAGTATGTATGTATGTAGGTATGTATGTATGTATGTATGTATGTATGTATGTATGTATGTATGTATGTATGTATGATGTATATGTATGTATGTATGTATGTATGTATGTATGTATGTATGTATGTATGTATGTATGTATGATGTATGTATGTATGTATGTATGTATGTATGTATGTATGTATGTATGTATGTATGTATGATGTATGTATGTATGTATGTATGTATGTATGTATGTATGTATGTATGTATGTATGTATGTATGTATGTATGTATGTATGTATGTATGTATGTATGTATGTATGTATGTATGTATGTATGTATGTATGTATGTATGTATGTATGTATGTATGTATGTATGTATGTATGTATGTATGTATGTATGTATGTATGTATGTATGTATGTATGTATGTATGTATGTATGTATGTATGTATGTATGTATGTATGTATGTATGTATGTATGTATGTATGTATGTATGTATGTATGTATGTATGTATGTATGTATGTATGTATGTATGTATGTATGTATGTATGTATGTATGTATGTATGTATGTATGTATGTATGTATGTATGTATGTATGTATGTATGTATGTATGTATGTATGTATGTATGTATGTATGTATGTATGTATGTATGTATGTATGTATGTATGTATGTATGTATGTATGTATGTATGTATGTATGTATGTATGTATGTATGTATGTATGTAGTATGTATGTATGTATGTATGTATGTATGTAGTATGTATGTATGTATGTATGTATGTATGTATGTATGTATGTATGTATGTATGTATGTATGTTTGTATGTATGTATGTTTGTATATGTAAATTATTAATTTCTTACCACTTTTATTGAAATGTGTGTGTATGTATTGATTAAGTTCCTGGTGATCCGCTTTAGTTGCTGCTGTAGTTATAATATCTGTTAATTTCGCATCGATAATTTCTAATTTTGTTAAATTTTTAGAAACACTATTACTCAACTGTTGAGTTTCGAAATATTTTTGTTTAATATATTTTCCATATTATTTAGTTTCTCATTTAATACTCCTAAGAGAACATCATGACCTTTAACTATTTCCTTGATGTCACTTATCATTTGGATTTTATCATTGGCAAGTATCTCTTGAAATTGTGTTTCAATCAGTTGATTTTGTTTTCCAATTAAATCATTTAATATATCGAAATATTCCTTGCTTTGTGTCTGTATTCTAATTTCTATGCTTTGTGTGCTCTTTTCGATTTTTTCCTCCAAACGTAGCAAAAACTCATCTTGTTTATCCATCCTTATTTTAAGTAATTCATTACCAGTTTTCAGCGCCTCTAGTTGACTCTCGAAACGAGTAAAATCCAAGGTTGGGAATTCATCACAAGCAAGAATATATTCAGGCTATAAATGAAAAAAACAAGTAAGAGTGTTATACTCGGCTATGCCGAATCTTATATACCCACCATCAAATCACTGCCATATAAATAAACTTTGATATTTTGAATATTTTATTATTATATATCGATATTAATGAGAACATCAGGGTAATATTTGAAAGAGGTCCATTAATGGGGGTTTAACTATTGACAGTGCTCTTTCAAATTAAATATGTTAATTTATATAGGGAGTAGTGTTATATATACATAATGGACCAATTCTCATAAAAGTCGGTAGGAAGATTTCAGTTCCTTATTTATTTCAAAGTTCATAGATCTACTTGTATTTTTAAACCAGTAATGAGCATTAAAGTCATTTTCTTAAAGGGACCTTATACGGGGTTAGAGTTAATTATGGACCAATTCTCATAAAATATGGTAGAGAGATTTTAGCATAAAATTAGTTTATGTCGAATTGCATTGCGGTATTCGTATTTTTCTCGTTGTAGTCATTTTCTGTGGGGGAATTTATATGGGGTGGGGTTATAATGGACTGATCCGCATACAAATTGGTAGAGAGACTTCGGTTCCTATAGAACTTATCAGTGTCGAATTTCATCGCTGTACTCGCATTTTTAAGCCAGTAATGAGCGTTTAAGTGATTTTCTGATGGGGACCTTAAAAGAAGGGTAAGGTCAATTATGAACCGATCCCCACAAAATTTTGTAGAGTGATGTTAGCTCATACAAAACTATATCAAATTTCATCGCTTTACTCGTTTTTTAGGCCAGTAATGAGCGTTAAAGTAATTTTCTGTTGGGGACCTTATATAGGCGATAGGGTCATTTAAAGCCCGATCCACATACAATTTGTGGAAAGGTTTTTAGCTCCTAAGATACTTATTTATGTCAAATTTCTTCACTATACTCGTATTTTTACGCCAATAATGAGCGTTAAAGTAATTTTAATTAGGGGACCATATATAGGGAGTAGGGTCAATTATGGACCGATCCACATAAAATCTGCTGGAAAGGTTTTGGCTCCTAAGATACTTACTTATGTAAAATTTCTTCGCTATACTTGTTTTTTTACGCCAATAATAAGTGATAAAGTAATTTTCTGAAGGGGGACCTTATATAGGCGGGTAGGGTCAATTATGGACCGATCCACATAAAATTTGGTATAGAGCTTTGGCTCGTATAAAACTTACTTTTATGAAATTTCATCGCTATACTCGTCTTTTTACGCCAATAATGATCGTTAAAGTCATTTTCTGAAGGGGACCTTATATGGGGGGTAGGGTCAATTATGAACCGATCTACATATAGTTTGGTGGAGAGATATTAACTTGCATGAAACCTATGTGTGTCAAATTTCATCGCAATATTCGTATGTTTAAGCCAGTAATCAGCATTATAGTCATTTTCAAAAGGGAACCTTATATGGGGGGTAGGGTCAATTATGGACCGATCCACATAAAATTTAGTAGAGAGATTTTGACTTATATAAAACTTACTTCTGCGAAATTTCATAGCTATACTCGTACATTTAAGCCAGTAATGAACGTTAAAGTAATTTTATGGAGATGGCCTTATGTGGGGGGTAGGGTCAATTATGGACCGATCCACATAAAATTTGGTGGAGAGATTTTCACTCGTATAAAACTTACTTATGTCAAATTTCATACTCGTATTTTTACGCCAATAAGGAGCGTTAAAGTCATTTTCTGAAGGGGACCTTATAAGGGGGGGTAGGGCCAATTGTGGTCCTATGTCCGCCATAATTCAAAATTTTATTTCAAAGAACTGACTTATGCGAAATTTTGTGGCATTTGCTTCATAAATAACGAATTTGTGAATGTTTGAAGCTTTTTACACAATATTCCGGGGGGTACATTTGTATGGGGGCTATGTGAAATCGTTGACCGATTTTGCCGATTTTCAATACCAAACATTTCTGATCAATAAAAAATATTTTGGGAAAATTTCATCTCAATATCTCTTTTTTTGTGGACGCTATCGTGCCAACAACAGACAGACGGACGGACAGACATAGCTAGATCGTCTTAGAAACTTACGAAGTCCTAGAATATATATACTGTATGGGGTCTGTGAACAATATTTCGATGTGTTACACACGGAATGACAAAATCAATATACCCCTCATCTTTTTCGATGGTGGGTATAAAAATATGAGTAAAACTTTCAGACTACCTCGAATAAAATTACATTTTTTTGCAATTCTTTAGTAGTTTTCTCAGAAACTACCAAATATATTTCGATAAATTTTGTTAGGGATCAAGTATGTTCAAACTCATAAAAATTGATTCAATATTTCTCATAGCCCCCATACAAAGGTATATATTCCAGGAAATTAGTTTATCGTTAATAATTCCCTCATATATATCGGTGTCAACACAAAATTTTGTACATGCCAGTTGGTAAACAGAAATCATATTACCAACATAGATCACAGTCGGTCCACAATTGGTCATAACTCCCATACAAGGTCCACTTTCGAAAATTACCTAAACGCACATTGATAAATAAAGCTATTGTGATAAAATTCGAATTGAATATGTTTTTTGTCCATTATTAGTCTCAGATTTTCCCTCATATCTGAATTATTTATGGACCGAGATTTAAATAAAGTTCTTTTCTTTTTTTCGGATTTCTCAGATATCTAGGGTATTCTGAAAATATATTCCAAGATATACACGCACAGACAGACAGACAGACGGATAGACGGTAAAATGAACATGGGTAAATCAACTGCGCTATTTATAAGGATCTAGAATATAAATATACTTTATGGGGTGGATTATATCGTCACCTGAAACGCAAACGGCCCTAACTAACCCAAAATACAAAATTGATTTTATGATTGATTCTAATACATCAAAACAAATGTTCACAAACAAAATTGGACTCCTCGAAACAAAATTTGCGATTTTATTGACAAAAAACAAATGGCCCTATATACAAAAACATTTAAATATTAATGGTAAAATGTCCAATTTATCCATTTTTCTATACGCCTTTGTCAACTACCATAACAAATGATAGGTTTCACTATTAAACAATTGCTTTATTGAATAACAATAAATCGTGTTGATAGAAACAAACTTTTCAATTAAAATAGTTTTTTTGCTTCACCTGTAAAATTTTTAAAATGTTAGATAGGGTCATTTGCGTTTTAGGTGACGATATGTATAAGTGAAGACCGGCATAATCCAAAAATCTTATATATGTATGTATAAAGTAGAGCACTATATGTTTCTCATCTGTATTTAAACTTAACTTTTACTTTTAAAATGTTGAATATAATCATGAGATTTAGAATCTAAATCACGTCGAAAATACATTTTTAAAAACAGAGAAAACTTTATGAAAGTCACACATTGGGACGTTGCATATTTTGTAGCACTTAGCCTAAAAAGTCTTGTAGTAAATGACTCATTTGGCTTCTCTCGGACTCCCAGGGTACAATTAACTAAAGAGATTGGATCAAATAAATGTTTCTTTAGAAAATCCATACAAATTTGTTAAAATATCTACGCCAAAACAAATAAAAACTTACATCGATTTCGGCATCTACGAAATTATTCGAATTCCAAACGTAGAATATTAGTATTAAATGTAATAATATGTTATAAAACATCTTCTTTTTCGTATAATACTTTTTGTATTTAATTATTCAATATTAAATGCACAATGAATTGAGATTAAATTTACATGCAGTTTATAAATAAGTTTTAAATTGATAAGAAATATAAATATTCAATCGATTCTTATTAATTGACTTACAATCAGTCGTTTAATTAACTTTGTCAAATGCAGCACAGTGGTTTAGAAAGAACTTTTTTATAATTCATTAACTCATGAACTAAAGGAGATTTGGAGTTAGTTGTATTTATGGTTTCATTGGATGCAGTAGGCTATTTCTTTAAAACTCTATAATTAGTTTAAGTGGTTAGTTTTCATTTACATAATAGTTAAAAATATCTAAAATGTCTTTCTATTATTGTAAGAAATTTCAAATTTATATTCCTTATTATCCACCATATTGATAAAATTGTATTGCTGCAGAGTGGGAAAAATTAACTGAATATTTTTGTAATTTTAAAACTGTTAATTCCTTATTAAAACATCCAAAGAGTGGATGTAATGTTGTGTTTAACATTGATTTTAGTTCTATATAACCATCTGGGTAAAAGTATATGAAACAAAACAATTCAATTATTGTGAGCATGAGCTCAGGGTCATGGACAAGAATTACAAATTTCTAAATTTTGTCTGCTCACTTTACAACTAGTCTGACATTGCAGTTTTACTCACCTTTATTAAACTCCCAGCTGTCAAATTTGTTTTAGGATTTTCAGTACATAATTGCGCAAATTTCGGCAAATTTGATACTTACGTTTTATCAAACGAATATCCTTAATATTATACAAAATTAACTAATTAGAAATTGTTTTGAACAAGAAAAGATTTTTTGACTCTCGTATAGTGCGTATACGTAATATGAAACTCTAATATTGACAAATAATAATCATACGTAAATTACACATTTTTGTGAGACAAAATGTTTAAATACATTTTTGAGACAAATTTTCTTTTTATACCCTCCACCACCATCAGTGGTGATAGAGGGTATATATAACTTTGTCATTCCGTGTGTAACACCAAGAAATATTCATCTGAGACCCAATAAAGTATATATATATTCTGGGTCCTTATCAAATTCTGAGTCGATTTAGCTATGTCCGTCTGTCTGTCCGTCTGTCCGTCTGTATGCCTAAAACACGCTCACGTTAAAACTAAGCAAAGTAAGTACACCAAATTCACCGAAAATATTCATTGTTGTCCTAAGCAGTTTGGTATTGAAAATGAGCAAAATCGGTTCATACCGGGAAAAGTTATGAATCAAAATTTAAAACAACCTCGAAAAAAATAAGCATTTTTTACACATTCGGATGCAATTTTCTCGAAAACTATGCAAGATAAATTCATGAAAATCACCATGAATAAGTTTCTACACGAGAACTTGATCTCTGCTGAAAATTGCTAGAATCGGTCCACAATTTCATATACCTCCCATACAAAAGTACATATTCCCGGAAAATGGGTTTTTTGTTAATAACTTCCGTCACAATGTCGATATCTTCACAAAATTTAACAAATTAAAATATTATGTCAATAGAATTCATTCAAAGAAAAAATTTTCTGGATCGGTCCATAATTGGACATAGCTCCCATACAAGGTCCCCTCCCGAAAATCACTTAAACGCACATAACTCATTACTAAATTAAGATATTCATATAAAATTTGGTACAAGTATTGCTTATCTGTACACAAATATTACTTAGAAATTTTTTTCCGATCGGTCCATAATTGGTCATAGCTCCCATACAAGGTCCCCTCCCGAAAATCACTTAAACGCGCATAACTCATTACTTAATTAAGATATCCATATAAAATTTGGTACAAGCATTGCTTATTTGTACAGAAATATTACTGAGAAATTTTTTTTCGATCGGTCCATAATTGGTCATAGCTCCCATACAAGGTCCCCTCCCGAAAATTACTTAAAACCACATAACTCATTAGTAAATGAAGATATCCATATAAAATTTGGTACAAGTATTGCTCTTGTATACAGAAATATTAATATGAATGTTTTTTCCGATCGGTCCATAATTGGTCATAGCTCCCATACAAGGTCCCCTCCCGAAAATCACTTAAACGCGCATAACTCATTACAAAATTAAGATATCCATATAAAATTTGGTACAAGTATTGTTCGTATGAACAAAAATATTACTGTGAAATTTTTCGCCAATCGGTCCATAATTGGTCATAGCTCCCATACAAGGTCCTCTCCCGAAAATCACTTAAACGCACATAACTCGTTACTGAATTAAGATATCCATATAAAATTTGGTACAAGTATTGTTCGTATGAACAAAAATATTATTATGAAATTTTTTTTCGATCGGTCCATAATTGGTCATAGCTCCCATACAAGGTCCCCTCCTCATTACAACTCATTACAAAATTAAGATATCCATATAAAATTTGGTACAAGTATTGTTCGTATGAACAAAAATATTACTGAGAAATTTTTTTCCGATCGGTCCATAACTGGTCATGGCTCACATACAAGGTCCCCTCCCGAAAATCACTTAAACGCACATAACTCATTACAAAATTACGATATCCATATAAAGTTTGTCACAAGTATTGCTCATATATAGGGAAATATTACTGTGAAATTTTCCTCCGATCGGTTCATAATTGGTCATAGCTCCCATACAAGGTCCCTTTCAGAAAAGCACTTAAACGCACATAACTCATTACTGAATTAAGATTTCCATATAAAATTTGGTACAAGTTGCTTATATGCACAGAAATATTACTTTGAAATTGTTTTCATATCGGTCCATAATTGATCATAGCTCCCATACAAGGTCCCTTTCAGAAAAACTTAAAGGCACATAAGTCATTACCTAATAGTGAAAATATTTGGCATAAATACTATTTTTGTACACATAAATGTTATTTCAAAATTTTATCACGTACGGTCCATCGTGGGTCATAGCTCCCATACAAGGTTCCCTTCCGAAAATCATTTAAACGCACATATCTCATTACCAAATATTGATATCCATACATTTAGCACAAATATTGCTCTTATATACATAAATTACACTATAAAATTGTTTTACGATCGGTCCATACTTGGTCATAGCTCTCATACTAGGTCCCCTCCAGAAAATCACTTAAATGTACAATATTCATTACTAAATAATGATATAGATACAGAATTTTCCCATACAGGGTCCTTTTACGAAAACCTCTTAATCGCACATTACTCATTACAAAATAAAGCTATTGATACAAAATTTGGCACAAATATGTATTCGTTTTGTATACAAAAATTCTATTTCAAGATTTTTTCACGATCGGTTCATAACATGGGTGCGGTCGGTCCCATACAAGGTTCCCTTCAAAAAATCACTTAAACACACATTACTTACTTATTACTAAATTACGATATAGATACAAATTTTGACTGAAATATAGCTTTAATGTACAGAAATTTTGCTTAAAGAATTTTTCACGATCGGTCTATAATTGGTCATATCTCCCATACTAGGTCCTGCCCCTAAAAGCACTTTAGCCGTAATTAACTTGTTGCATTATCAATTTGTGTATATATGTATTTTGAAAATCCTTAAATCTTTCACACACATACAAATTACTAAATATCGCTAAAGCATATCTAAGGCCCTATAAAAATATAAAAGAAAATGGCGTTAGTAATCTATATATATAAAATTCTAACGTTACTGACTGACTGACTGACTGACTGACTGATTCACTGACTGATTCATCATCGCACAGCCTAAACGGTTGAAGCTAAAGAGCTGAAATTTGGACAGGAGGTTGGTCTCCCGCCAAATAGATCCACTAAGACGGGATTTTTGGAAATTCGAATGTTTAGGGGGTAAGAAAGGGTAAAAACGGGTAAATTCGGTAACCTTATATCTCCTAAACTAGAAAAGATACAAAAACGGTTTAAAGCTTATCGCCGTTCATTTAAAAAATAAACGGACAGGTGTCTGGTACTTTTTTAAAATTCGGCCCCTTTAGGGAATAAACGGGTAAAAACTGTATTTTGGTACTTTTTTCGCACCCCATGTATCTTTTAAACCAGTGCACATTCAAAAAATATTTTTGACTCCTTCATAACTTAACGAAAAAATAAAAATATGAATTTAGTACTTCTTGGATATTCGGACGTTTAAGGGGTTAAAATTGTACCTATTTTTGGTACTTTTTTCATAAAACATTTTTTTGGTTTATTAACTTATACATATGAATACATAATAACGGGCTCCCACTACGATGTTGCAACTTTTTGGAATAGAATTTTTATTTCGTTAATGGGGAGGAAAAAAGTACCAAAAGGGGTAAAAACGGGAAATTTGATTTTATTCAACCACAATGATCCAATTTAGATAAAATTTTTAAATTTAGAAACACTAAATATCCTAATGGGGTGTTATTTGGAACCCCGGTATCAAGTGATATTTTTTGGTACTTTTCATTCTCCAACTGGTCCTTTTTGAGTTTTCTATGATATTGAAATAGAAACATGAAATTAATAATAAAGGGACTTTTCGCTACTTTTTCGTTCTACACAGGTACTTTTTTGAGTTTTCTTTAAAATTAAACCTAGAAACATGAAATTAAGCATGTAGAGCTCGGAGTAAATGAGAATCTATAATAGGGGACTTTTTGGTACTTTTTCGTCCTTCGACTGGTACTTTTTGAGTTTTCTATAAAATTTAACCTAGAAACATGAAATTAAGCATATAGAGCCCTTAGTAAATGAGAATCTATAAAAGGGGACTTTTTGGTACTTTTTCGTCTTTCGACTGGTACTTTTTGAGTTTTCTATAAAATTTAACCTAGAAACATGAAATTAACCATGTAGAGCCCGGAGTAAATGAGAATCTATAAAAGGGGACTTTTTGGTACTTTTTCGTCCTTCGACTGGTACTTTTTGAGTTTTCTATAAAATTTAACCTAGAAACATGAAATTAAGCATGCGGAGGCTTTAGTTAATGAGAATCTATAAAAGGGGTCTTTTTGGTACTTTTTCGTCCTTCGACTGGTACTTTTTGAGTTTTCTATTAAATTGAACCTAGAAACATGAAAATAAGCATTTAGAGCCCGTAGTAAATGAGAATCTATAAAAGGGGACTTTTTGGTACTTTTTCGTTCTTCAAAAGGTACTTTATGAATTTTCTATAATATTGAAAATAGAAACATGAAAGTATGCATGTAGAGCCTGGATTAAGTGAGAAACTATAAAAGGGGACTTTTTGGTACTTTTTTGTTCTTCAAAAGGTACTTTTTGAATTTTCTATAATATTGAACCTAGAAACATGAAATTAAACATGTAGAGCCCGAATTAAGTGAGGACCTATAAAAGGTGACTTTTTGGTACTTTTTCGTTCTTCAAAAAGTACTTTTTGAATTTTCTATAATATTGATCCTAGAAGCATGAAATTAAGCATGTAGAGCCTGGAGTAAATGAGAATCTATAAAAGGGGACTTTTTGGTACTTTTTCGTTCTTCAAAAGGTACTTTTTGAATTTTCTATAATATTGATCCTAGAAGCATGAAATTAAGCATATAGAGCCTGGAGTAAATGAGAATCTATAAGAGGGGACTTTTTGGTACTTTTTCGTTCTTCAAAAGGTACTATTTGAATTTTCTATAATATTGAACCTAGAAACATGAAATTAAGCAAGTACAGCCAAGATTAAGTGATAACCTATAAAAGGGGACTTTTCGGCACTTTTTCGTTCTTCAAAAGGTACTTTTTCAATTTTCTATAATATTGAACCTAGAAACATGAAATTAAGTACGTAGAGCCCGGAGTAAGTGAGAACATATAAAAGAGGACTTTTTGATAATTTTTCGTTCTTCAAAAGGTACTTTTTGTGTTTTTTATAACATGAAATTAACCATGTGGAGCCCGGAGTTAATGAGAATCTATAAAAGGGGACCCTTTGGTAATTTTTCGTTCTTCAACTGGTACTTTTTTAATTTTCTATAATATTGAACTTGGGAACATGAAATTAAATAAAAGAGGTCTTTTGTTACTTTTTCGTACTTCATTGGTACTTTTTGAGTTTTCTAAAATATTGAATATATAAACATAAATTTAAATAGGGGACTTTTTGATATTGCAGATATATATACATTTACAATAATATTTATTTTATTCCATTACGATGAGGGTAGCGAAGCACACTGGGTATAGCTAGTGTTCAATAAATCTTGGAATTGTAATAGATTTAAGCTGTTTAAATCTTGGGATTTTTTCTATTTAAGACATGAGAAAACGTATTTCTACAAGCTGGTGGAGGGTATTTAAGATTCGGCTCAGCCGAATATAGCACTCTAACTTGTTAAGCTTCCATTTTCTTTTCAATCCTGATCAATTGAAATAAATAATAATAATAAAAACAATTGAAGCAGAGGTTGTCAGCATCATTTGATATTAATGTTAATAACAAAATTTTTTAAATAAATTTCGAATTCCATCTTTTCAAATCGTATGTCCTTTAAAGTTTAAGCTCGTTTTACAGGGACATAAGAGTTGATTATGAAAAACTTTTTACACAGAGTTAATACTAATGGTCTACAGTATCCTGTAAACTTAGATTTTTTCATGTTTGAATAAGTCATATCTTCTATCTATATATACATATAAAAATGAATGTGTGTTTGTTTGTATGTTTATATGTTTGAACGTTATAGGCTACTAAACGGTTGAACCAATTTTCTTCAAATTTTCACAGCGTATTCCTGTATGTCTGGAATAGGTAATAGGCTACTCTTTTATTTTGAAATTCCAAGTGGGCGAGGAGCCACGCCCATATTAAGAAAATATTAAATCCGTATATTTGAGATCATATAACAATTAGTGTCCTCAAATTTTTTCGGAGCAACTTTAGTGTCTATATGATTATTTAGAACAAAAAGTAGGCGGAATAGCATTAGGGGGCGTGACACCTCCCATATAAATTAAATACAAAAATTCGTTTATCTTGGAAACTGTTACAGTTAGAATCTTCAAATTTCGCACGAATAACTTTAACATCCATTTAAACATTTTGGGTAATAAATTGGTAGACTACCCATGAGGGGAGCGGCACCTCCCATATGAATTAAATATAAAATTTCGTTTATCTGGGAAACTAATAGAACTTTAATATTCATCTGAACATTTTGGAGGAAAAAGTGCGGACTTTCATCTGGGGAGCTTAAAGCCCCCACATGAATCAAATAGAAAAATTCTTATATCGTATATCTTTAAATTTTATATGAAGAACTTTGACATTCATGTGAACATTTAGTGCATAACGGGCGGACTTTCAATGGGTGGCTTGGCACAATATATATATATATATTTCGTTTATCTTGGAAACTCTTATATTATTAAAATTTTTCATAGATAGATAGAAATTAGTGATAGATAGAAACTGGCGAACTTGCAATTATTTGCTTGACATCTCTCATATGTAGCATATTATAAATCTGGAAAACTATTGTAATTAGAATCTTCAAAATCTTTAGGGTAGCAAAGCACACTGGGTATAGCTAGTTTTACAACTAAGGCAATATTTTAATACAAGAATACACATGAGATTTCCAGTATCAATATGAATTGTCGTTATTTAAAAAATTTGCTAATTGTTTTAAAGATTATGCAAATGTGGGAAGATGAAGAAGTTGATGAACATGAATTATTCTAGACCGTTTAATATAAATATGTAATAAATGTTGAGTTTGAATGGGACTGACATCTTGTTCCATTATTGTAAACGTAAAAACTTAAATTCATATTTTCACGAATATTTGATAAACAAAAATAAAATTTAAATTCAGTTGGAAAACCTCTACTATCTGAATCTGATTTAATTTTTGAAATCCCTTGAATTATTTAAAATATATTTTAACAATTGTAAAAGGTCATTAATCAATCAAAGCCATTTATGTATATCTAAACGATTTTTTTGGGATTATGACAGTCTTGTAGTAAATGAGAGATGTGTTATTTGTTTTTATACCCTCCACCACCATCAGTGGTGATAGAGGGTATAAATAACTTCCGTCACAATGTCGATATCTTCACAAAATTTTACAAATTAAAATCTTATGTCAATAGAATTCATTTAGAGAAAAAATTTTCTGGATCGGTCCATAATTGGACATAGCTCCCATACAAGGTCCCCTCCCGAAAATCACTTAAACGCGTATAACGCATTACTTAATTAAGATATCCATATAAAATTTGGGACAAGTATTGCTTATCTATACAGAAATATTACCGATAAATGTTTTTCCGATCGGTCCATAATTGGTCATAGCTCCCATACAAGGTCCCCTCCCGAAAATCACTTAAACGCGCATAACTCATTACTTAATTAAGATATCCATATAAAATTTGGTACAAGCATTGCTTATTTGTACAGAAATATTACTGAGAAATTTTTTTCCGATCGGTCCATAATTGGTCATAGCTCCCATACAAGGTCCCCTCCCGAAACTCACTTAAACGCACATAACTCATTACAAAATAAAGATATCCATATAAAATTTGGTACAAGTATTGCCCGTATGCACAAAAATATTACTGTGAAATTTTTTTCCGATCGGTCCATAATTGGTCATAGCTCCCATACAAGGTCCCCTCCCGAAAATCACTTAAAACCACATAACTCATTAGTAAATGAAGATATCCATATAAAATTTGGTACAAGTATTGCCCGTATGCACAAAAATATTACTGAAATTTTTTTCCGATAGGTCCATAATTGGTCATAGCTCCTATACAAGGTCCCCTTCCGAAAATCACTTAAAACCACATAACTCATTAGTTAATGAAGACATCCATATAAAATTTGGTACAAGTATTGCTCTTATATACAGAAATATTACTATGAAAGTTTTCTTGGATCGCTCCATAATTGGTCATAGCTCCCATACAAGGTCCCTTCCCGAAAATCACTTAAAACCACATAACTCATTATTACTTAATTAAGATATCCATATAAAATTTGGTACAAGTATTGATTATCTGTACAGAAATATTACCGATAAATTTTTTTCCGATCGGTCCATAATTGGTCATGGCTCCCATACAAGGTCCCCTCCCGAAACTCACTTAAACGCACATAACTCATTACAAAATAAAGATATTCATATAAAATTTGGTACAAGTATTGCCCGTATGCACAAAAATATTACTGTGAAATTTTTTTCCGATAATTACTGAATTAAGATATCCATATAAAATTTGATACAAGTATTGCTTATATGCACAGAAATATTACTGTACTTATTACTTATTTTCCTATCAGTCCATAATTGATCATAGCTCCCATACAAGGTCCCTTTCAGAAAAACACTTAAAGGCACGTAGCTCATTACCTAATAACCCATTAAATATGTGGCATAACTATTATTTTTGTACACTTAAATGTTATTTCAAATTTTTTTCATGATTGGTCCATTCTTGGTCGTAGCTCTCATACAAGGTTCTCTCCCGAAAATCACTTAAACGCACATAACTCATTACCAAATATTGATATACATACATTTAGCAAAAATATACATAAATTAACCTATAAAATTGTTGTACGATCGGTCCATATTTGGTCATAGCTCTCATACTAGGTCCCCTCCAGAAAATCACTTAAATGCACAAATCCCGCAAACGCACATTACTCTTTACCAAATAAAGCTATTGATACAAAATTTGGCATAAATATTAGTTTTGTATACAAAAATTCAATTTCCAGATTTTTTCACGATCGGTTCATAACATGGGTGCGGTCGGTCCCATAAAAGTTTCCTTTCAGAAAATCAAATAAACACTCTTATTACAAAATTACGATATAGATACAAAATTTGACTGAAATATAGCTTTTATGTACAGAAATTTTCTATTTAAGACATGAGAAAACTTATTTCTACAAATATTTGATCAATTAGAAAAGTATTAATATAAAAGTAGCTGGTGGAGGGTATTTAAGATTCGGCTCAGCCGAATATAGCACTCTAACTTGTTTTAATTACTTCTTACAATTTTATATTTTCTTAGGTCTTATCATCATTTGAACAAATTTTAAAGAATGTTTGCAACCTCTACTAGAATTCCAACATATACCAAAATTTGTATTAGTAGATACTTCTTTCGCATGATATTTTCCATTTAAATTGCTAAAAGAATAAAAAAGTTAAATTAAATTATTAACATTAAGGGAAAGCCTTGTTTAACAAACCTATTAAAACAGGCATGAAACCACCATGCACTTTTAAAATACTCAGCACAGTTTTTTTCATTTGTATCTAAGTCATTGTCACGATCTTTCGTGGTAAACATATAACCCTGATGTGGACTAAATGAATCAGTAGCATTGCCAGAATATTTACCCACTTTCAGTAATTTATAATTCTCCAATTCATCTTCGACAATGAATTCAGCATATTTGGCATATGTCAAAGTATTATTGAAATCTTTTAGTTGTATCAAGAGTTCTACTGGTTGTAGTTCAGTCGTCAGGGCATGAAGTTTATCGAGACCGATGAAGAACTCGCCTTCAATATCACCGAAGCCCATCTTATATTCTGACCATTTGCGGTAGAAATCTACGGAACCATTAATACGTCTTTGGATGACAGTCCATCCACCACCATCGGTCTGGTTATCACATGATACATAAAATGGTTTTTGTCCATAAATCTTACTAAATATGCGACATTTGTTATTTGAACAATAATTAGTATTGAAATCAGCACAACTGGTGGGATAAGGATTGGTAGTGCTGAAAATGATATTGTTTATCTATAAATATGTATGTATTTATGTTTGTAGTTAAACTATTTTTGTAGAGAAATTTTTGATCAATTGTAGCTATTATATTTGATTGATAACTGTGTGTATAGTCATATTTATTGACGATACTTTAACTCATAAGTTTGGCGAATTCGATTTGTTAACTTACCAAACTACTGCTTTGCCTTTATGCACGGCAATTAAGTTATTAGCTTCTAAAATAATAACAAATACAAGTAAAAATTATTTTTTCTTGAAATATATTCATACATTCATATGTATGTATGTGTGTATGTGTGCATGTATGTATGTATGTATGTTTGTATGTATGTATGTATGTAGTAGTATGTATGTATGTATGTATGTTGTATGTATGTATGTATGTATGTATGTATGTATGTATGTTGTATGTATGTATGTATGTATGTATGTATTTGATGTATTGTATGTATGTATGTTGTATGTATGTGTATGTAATGTATCTTTGTATGTATGTTAGTTATGTATGTCTTGTCTGTATTTATTTTATGTAGTCTGTATTATGTATGATGTATGTATAGTATGTATGTATGTATGTGTATGTATGTAGTATGTATGTATGTATGTATGTATGTATGTATGTATGTATGTATGTATGTATGTATGTATGTATGTATGTATGTATGTATGTATGTAGTAGTAGATGTATGTATGTATGTATGTATGTATGTATGTATGTATGTATGTATGTATGTATGTATGTATGTATGTATGTATGTATGTATGTATGTATGTATATGTATGTATGTATGTATGTATGTATGTATGTATGTATGTATGTATGTATGTAGTATGTATGTAGTATGTATGTATGTTGTATAGTATGTATGTATGTATGTATGTATGTATTGTATGTATGTATGTATGTATTGTATGTATGATTTATGTTATTGTCTGTATGTATGTAGATGTATGTCTTGTATGTATGTATATGTCATGTTATGTATGTATGTATGTTATGTCTATGTAGTATGTATGTAGAGTTGTATGTATTGTATGTATGTATATGTAGATGTATGTATGTCTGTATGTATGTATGTATGTATGTATGTATTGTATGTAGTATGACTGTATGTATGTAGTATGTATGTATGTATTTATGTATGTATGTATGATGTATGTATGTATGTATGTACTGTATGTATGATGTATGTCTGTTAGTTGTATGTATGATATGTATGTACTGTCTGTATGTATTTATGTATGTATGTATGTATGTATGATGATGTTTATTGTATGATGTATGTCGTATGTAGTATGTATGTATGTATGTCTGTATGTATGTATGTTATGTATGATGTATGTATGTCTGTCTGATTGTATGTATGTATGTATGTATTTGTATGTATGTATGTATGTATGTATGTTGATGTGTATGTATGTATGTATGTTGTATGTATGTTGATGTATATGTATAATTATTTAACTCTTTACCACTTTTATTGAAATGTGTGTGATTATTGATTAAGTTCCTTGTGATCCGCTTTAGTTGCTGCTGTAGTTATAATATCTGTTAATTTCGCATCGATAATTTCTAATTTTGTTAAATTTTTAGAAACACTATTACTCAACTGTTGAGTTTCGAAAATATTTTTGTTTAATATATTTTCCATATTATTTAGTTTCTCATTTAATACTCCTAAGAGAACATCATGACCTTTAACTATTTCCTTGATGTCACTTATCATTTGGATTTTATCATTGGCAAGTATCTCTTGAAATTGTGTTTCAATCAGTTGATTTTGTTTTCCAATTAAATCATTTAATATATCGAAATATTCCTTGCTTTGTGTCTGTATTCTAATTTCTATGCTTTGTGTGCTCTTTTCGATTTTTTCCTCCAAACGTAGCAAAAACTCATCTTGTTTATCCATCCTTATTTTAAGTAATTCATTACCAGTTTTCAGCGCCTCTAGTTGACTCTCGAAACGAGTAAAATCCAAGGTTGGGAATTCATCACAAGCAAGAATATATTCAGGCTATAAATGAAAAAAACAAGTAAGAGTGTTATACTCGGCTATGCCGAATCTTATATACCCACCATCAAATCACTGCCATATAAATAAACTTTGATATTTTGAATATTTTATTATTATATATCGATATTAATGAGAACATCAGGGTAATATTTGAAAGAGGTCCATTAATGGGGGTTTAACTATTGACAGTGCTCTTTCAAATTAAATATGTTAATTTATATAGGGAGTAGTGTTATATATACATAATGGACCAATTCTCATAAAAGTCGGTAGGAAGATTTCAGTTCCTTATTTATTTCAAAGTTCATAGATCTACTTGTATTTTTAAACCAGTAATGAGCATTAAAGTCATTTTCTTAAAGGGACCTTATACGGGGTTAGAGTTAATTATGGACCAATTCTCATAAAATATGGTAGAGAGATTTTAGCATAAAATTAGTTTATGTCGAATTGCATTGCGGTATTCGTATTTTTCTCGTTGTAGTCATTTTCTGTGGGGGAATTTATATGGGGTGGGGTTATAATGGACTGATCCGCATACAAATTGGTAGAGAGACTTCGGTTCCTATAGAACTTATCAGTGTCGAATTTCATCGCTGTACTCGCATTTTTAAGCCAGTAATGAGCGTTTAAGTGATTTTCTGATGGGGACCTTAAAAGAAGGGTAAGGTCAATTATGAACCGATCCCCACAAAATTTTGTAGAGTGATGTTAGCTCATACAAAACTATATCAAATTTCATCGCTTTACTCGTTTTTTAGGCCAGTAATGAGCGTTAAAGTAATTTTCTGTTGGGGACCTTATATAGGCGATAGGGTCATTTAAAGCCCGATCCACATACAATTTGTGGAAAGGTTTTTAGCTCCTAAGATACTTATTTATGTCAAATTTCTTCACTATACTCGTATTTTTACGCCAATAATGAGCGTTAAAGTAATTTTAATTAGGGGACCATATATAGGGAGTAGGGTCAATTATGGACCGATCCACATAAAATCTGCTGGAAAGGTTTTGGCTCCTAAGATACTTACTTATGTAAAATTTCTTCGCTATACTTGTTTTTTTACGCCAATAATAAGTGATAAAGTAATTTTCTGAAGGGGGACCTTATATAGGCGGGTAGGGTCAATTATGGACCGATCCACATAAAATTTGGTATAGAGCTTTGGCTCGTATAAAACTTACTTTTATGAAATTTCATCGCTATACTCGTCTTTTTACGCCAATAATGATCGTTAAAGTCATTTTCTGAAGGGGACCTTATATGGGGGGTAGGGTCAATTATGAACCGATCTACATATAGTTTGGTGGAGAGATATTAACTTGCATGAAACCTATGTGTGTCAAATTTCATCGCAATATTCGTATGTTTAAGCCAGTAATCAGCATTATAGTCATTTTCAAAAGGGAACCTTATATGGGGGGTAGGGTCAATTATGGACCGATCCACATAAAATTTAGTAGAGAGATTTTGACTTATATAAAACTTACTTCTGCGAAATTTCATAGCTATACTCGTACATTTAAGCCAGTAATGAACGTTAAAGTAATTTTATGGAGATGACCTTATGTGGGGGGTAGGGTCAATTATGGACCGATCCACATAAAATTTGGTGGAGAGATTTTAACTCGTATAAAACTTACTTATGTCAAATTTCATACTCGTATTTTTACGCCAATAAGGAGCGTTAAAGTCATTTTCTGAAGGGGACCTTATAAGGGGGGGTAGGGCCAATTGTGGTCCTATGTCCGCCATAATTCAAAATTTTATTTCAAAGAACTGACTTATGCGAAATTTTGTGGCATTTGCTTCATAAATAACGAATTTGTGAATGTTTGAAGCTTTTTACACAATATTCCGGGGGGTACATTTGTATGGGGGCTATGTGAAATCGTTGACCGATTTTGCCGATTTTCAATACCAAACATTTCTGATCAATAAAAAATATTTTGGGAAAATTTCATCTCAATATCTCTTTTTTTGTGGACGCTATCGTGCCAACAACAGACAGACGGACGGACAGACATAGCTAGATCGTCTTAGAAACTTACGAAGTCCTAGAATATATATACTTTATGGGGTCTGTGAACAATATTTCGATGTGTTACACACGGAATGACAAAATCAATATACCCCTCATCTTTTTCGATGGTGGGTATAAAAATATGAGTAAAACTTTCAGACTACCTCGAATAAAATTACATTTTTTTGCAATTCTTTAGTAGTTTTCTCAGAAACTACCAAATATATTTCGATAAATTTTGTTAGGGATCAAGTATGTTCAAACTCATAAAAATTGATTCAATATTTCTCATAGCCCCCATACAAAGGTATATATTCCAGGAAATTAGTTTATCGTTAATAATTCCCTCATATATATCGGTGTCAACACAAAATTTTGTACATGCCAGTTGGTAAACAGAAATCATATTACCAACATAGATCACAGTCGGTCCACAATTGGTCATAACTCCGAAAATCACCTAAACGCACATTGATAAATAAAACTATTGTGATAAAATTCGAATTGAATATGTTTTTTGTCCATTATTAGTCTCAGATTTTCCCTCATATCTGAATTATTTATGGACCGAGATTTAAATAAAGTTCTTTTCGAACCTATGTCTGATAGAATTAGAAAAGATTCGGATTTCTCAAATATCTAGGGTATTCTGAAAATATATTCCAAGATATACACACACAGACAGACAGACGGATAGACGGTAAAATGAACATGGGTAAATCAACTGCGCTATTTATAAGGATCTAGAATATAAATATACTTTATGGGGTGGATTATATCGTCACCTGAAACGCAAACGGCCCTAACTAACCCAAAATACAAAATTGATTTTATGATTGATTCTAATACATCAAAACAAATGTTCACAAACAAAATTGGACTCCTCGAAACAAAATTTGCGATTTTATTGACAAAAAACAAATGGCCCTATATACAAAAACATTTAAATATTAATGGTAAAATGTCCAATTTATCCATTTTTCTATACGCCTTTGTCAACTACCATAACAAATGATAGGTTTCACTATTAAACAATTGCTTTATTGAATAACAATAAATCGTGTTGATAGAAACAAACTTTTCAATTAAAATAGTTTTTTTGCTTCACCTGTAAAATTTTTAAAATGTTAGATAGGGTCATTTGCGTTTTAGGTGACGATATGTATAAGTGAAGACCGGCATAATCCAAAAATCTTATATATGTATGTATAAAGTAGAGCACTATATGTTTCTCATCTGTATTTAAACTTAACTTTTACTTTTAAAATGTTGAATATAATCATGAGATTTAGAATCTAAATCACGTCGAAAATACATTTTTAAAAACAGAGAAAACTTTATGAAAGTCACACATTGGGACGTTGCATATTTTGTAGCACTTAGCCTAAAAAGTCTTGTAGTAAATGACTCATTTGGCTTCTCTCGGACTCCCAGGGTACAATTAACTAAAGAGATTGGATCAAATAAATGTTTCTTTAGAAAATCCATACAAATTTGTTAAAATATCTACGCCAAAACAAATAAAAACTTACATCGATTTCGGCATCTACGAAATTATTCGAATTCCAAACGTAGAATATTAGTATTAAATGTAATAATATGTTATAAAACATCTTCTTTTTCGTATAATACTTTTTGTATTTAATTATTCAATATTAAATGCACAATGAATTGAGATTAAATTTACATGCAGTTTATAAATAAGTTTTAAATTGATAAGAAATATAAATATTCAATCGATTCTTATTAATTGACTTACAATCAGTCGTTTAATTAACTTTGTCAAATGCAGCACAGTGGTTTAGAAAGAACTTTTTTATAATTCATTAACTCATGAACTAAAGGAGATTTGGAGTTAGTTGTATTTATGGTTTCATTGGATGCAGTAGGCTATTTCTTTAAAACTCTATAATTAGTTTAAGTGGTTAGTTTTCATTTACATAATAGTTAAAAATATCTAAAATGTCTTTCTATTATTGTAAGAAATTTCAAATTTATATTCCTTATTATCCACCATATTGATAAAATTGTATTGCTGCAGAGTGGGAAAAATTAACTGAATATTTTTGTAATTTTAAAACTGTTAATTCCTTATTAAAACATCCAAAGAGTGGATGTAATGTTGTGTTTAACATTGATTTTAGTTCTTATATAACCATCTGGGTTAAAGTGTATGGAACAAAACAATTCAATTGGTGTGAGCATGAGCTCAGGGTCATGGACAAGAATTATAAATTTCTAAATTTTGTCTGCTTACTCTACAATATCGTGTAACATTGCAATTTTACTAACCTTTATTAAACTCCCAGCTGTCAAATTTGTTTTAGGATTTTCAGTACCTAATTGCGCAAATTTCGGCAAATTTGATACTTACGTTTTATCAAACGAATATCCTTAATATTATACAAAATTAACTAATTAGAAATTGTTTTGAACAAGAAAAGATTTTTTGACTCTCGTATAGTGCGTATACGTAATATGAAACTCTAATATTGACAAATAATAATCATACGTAAATTACACATTTTTGTGAGACAAAATGTTTAAATACATTTTTGAGACAAATTTTCTTTTTATACCCTCCACCACCATCAGTGGTGATAGAGGGTATATATAACTTTGTCATTCCGTGTGTAACACCAAGAAATAGTCATCTGAGACCCAACAAAGTATATATGTATATTCTGGGTCCTTATCAAATTCTGAGTCGATTTAGCTATGTCCGTCTGTCCGTCTGTCTGTGTAAAACACGCTCTCGATAAAACGAAGCAATGGAGTTTAACCAAATTCACCCAAAATGTTCTTCATTTTCCTAAGTTGTTTGGTATTGAAAATGGGCAAAATCGGTTCACACCGGGAAAAGTTATGAATCAAAATTTAAAACAACCTCGAAAAAAATAAGCAATTTTTAGACATTCTGATGTAATTTTCTCGAAAACTATGCAAGATAATTCCATGAAAGTCATTATACATTCGTTCCTACACAAGAGCTTGATCCCTGCTGAAAATTACCAGAATCGGTCCACAATTTCATATACCTACCATACAAAAGTACATATTCCCAGAAAATGGGTTTTTGTTAATAACTTCCGTTAGAATTTCGATATCTTCACAAAATTTTAGAAATTAAAATCTTATGTCAATAGAATTCATTCAGAGAAAAAAATTTTCCCGATCGGTCCATAATTGGTCATAGCTCCCATACAAGGTCCCCTCCCGAAAATCACTTAAACGCGCATAACTCATTACTAAATTAAGATATCCATATAAAATTTGGTACAAGTATTGCCCATATGCATAGAAATATTACTGTGAAAGTTTTTTCCGATCGGTCCATAATTGGTCACAGCTCCCATACAAGGTCCCCTCCCGAAAATCACTTAAATTAAGATATCCATATGAAATTTGGTATAAGTATTACTCATATGCACAGAAATATTACTGTGAAATTTTTTCTCGATCGGTCCATAATTGGTCATAGCTCCCATACAAGGTCCCCTCCCGAAAATCACTTAAACGCGCATAACTCATTACTAAACTAAGATATCCATATAAAGTTTGGCAGAAGTATTGCTCATATATAGAGAATTATTACTGTCAAATTGTTTTCCTATCGGTCCATAATTGATCACAGTTGCTATACAAGGTCCCTTTCAGAAAAACACATAAAGGCACATAACTCATTACCAAATAATGATATAAATAAATACTATTTTTGTACATCAAAACTATTTCTGTACACATAAATGTTATTTCAAAATTTTTTTCACGATCGCTCCATCCTTGGTCATAGCTCCCATACAATGTTCCCTCCCGAAAATCACTTAAACGCACATAACTCATTACCAAATCTAGATATCCATACATTTAGCAAAAATATTGCACTTATATACATAAATTACACTATATAATTGTTTTACGATCGGTCCATATTTGGTCATAGCTCTCATACTAGGTCCCCTCCAGAAAATCACTTAAACTCACATTACTCATTACCAAATAAAGCTATACTAAATTACGATATAGATACAAAATTTGACTGAAATATAACTTTTATGTACAGAAATTTAGCTTAAAGAATTTTTTACGATCGATCTATAATTGATCTTATCTCCTAACTGTCCCTAAAAGCGCTTTAACCTTATTTAACTATTTGCATTATCAATTTGTGTAGAACAAAATTATATATATGTATGTATTTTGAAAATCCTTAAATCTTTCACACACATGCATACATGCAAATTATTAAATATTGCTAAGCGCTATAAAAATATAAAAGACAAGTAAGAGTGTTATATTCGGCCATGCCGAATCTTATATACCCACCATCAAATCATCCTTATAAATAAACTTTAATATTATCGATCTATGTTGAATCATAAGTCGATATTATTATGAACATCAGGGAAATATTTGGAAGAGGGAATTTAATAAAGGCTTAAGCATGGACCGTGCTCTTCCGAATTAAAAATATTAATTTTGTTTGATCCAATATTTATAACCATAAACTGTTTGTTTTTTGTAAGAGTGGTTATATGGAGGGTGGAGTCAATTATAGACCTATCCTTGTCGGTGTATAAAATAATTATTTGTATCTAATGTAGCTGTACTTGTATCTTTAATTCAGTCATGGGGTTTAAAGTAATTATCTGAAGGAAACCGAAAATGGGTGTTTCGACCGATCCTTATGAAATTCGTTTGAAAAATTCCAGTTCCTATAAAACTACCGTAATTTGGAAGAACTTTTGAGCCATACATGAGCGTTAAAGTGATTCTCTGGAGTGAATCTTATATAAGGGTCAATTATAGACCGATGTTTATAAACTTTCGTACATAAATTATGTTCGCAAGTCGCAATTTTAAGCAACTAATGAGAGTTAAAGTAATTTTACTGAAGTGGTCATTTATCGATCCATCTTCATCAATGTCGGTAGGAAGATTTCAGTTCCCATAACACTTATGTTGAATTGCATATATCTACTCGTATTTGATGCCAGTAATGAGCGTTAAAGGCGAACCTATACGCCCACCCCCGTATAAGTCAATTATTGATCGTTACTTCCAAAATTTAGAACGGGTTTTGTACATACAAATATTGTTTATGTCGCATTTTTGAGCCAGTAATGAGCTTTAAAGTAATTTTCTAATGGGGACCTTAATAGGGGCATAGGGTAGGGGCTCATACAAAACTTGTTTATGTGAAATTTCATCGCTGTAGTCGCATTTGAGCGACAGTCACTATCTGAGGGGGATGGAGGGTGGGGTCAGTTATAGACCAATCCCCTTAAATAGTTTTTGGCTAGTACAAAACTTGTTTACGTAGAATTTCACTGCTGTAATCGCATTTTTGAGTCAGTAATGAGCGTTAAAGTAGGGTACCTCATTTTCTGAAGGGGACCTTGTATTGGGGGTAGGGTCAATTATGAACCGATCCTTATAAAATTTTACGAAGAGATTTAAATTCTTATAAAACATGTTTGTGCCGAATTTCATCGCTATTGATGCTTTTCTGAGCCAGTTATGGGCGATACCCCCATCTTTTTTGATGGTGGGTATAAAAATGGTGTTAGTAATGTTCAATAAATCTTGGAATTGTAATAGATCTAAGCTGTTTAAATCTTGGGATTTTTCTATTTAAGACATGAGAAGACTTATTTCTACAAATATTTGATCAATTAGAAAAGTATTAATATAAAAGTAGCTGGTGGAGGGTATTTATGATTCGGCACAGCCGAATATAGCACTCTAACTTGTTTTATATTTAAAAGAAAACAAATAGGAAATATTTAAACAATGCGTTGACAAAAAAAGTGGTGATTTTCTAAAGGAATATGTGCCTACCTTTAGAAATGTTAGTAGAGAGATTTACCTTTACATCAATACATTTTGACAAACAAATTTTTATCAATAAGAAGGAATTTAATTAAAACGCAAATATTTTTTTTTTTTTAATTCAATCAATACTTATCACTTTTTACGCTGTGAACCGATTTTGTATCTGTATTCATACATATATTTAATATTAAGAATGTCACAAATTTACTTATAATTAAATTACAATTAACAAATATCAAATTCCCATATATACATACATACATATGTATGTATCTATTCTGGCGCTATACGTTTTTCTATATGAATTCGCGGGCCTTTCACCAATTTCAGTGTCATATGGTTTTCTGGAACAATATCTTCGTATTTGAAATCTGTTGTAAATTTATAGGCTTTAATTAATTTAGCCAAGGAAATTTTAAGAAATAATATGGCATATCTCCAACCTTTAATAGAATAAATTATACATTAATATATACATTATAATTACTATAGTATGTACATTTACACACCGATACAAAATTTCTGTCCCTTAGTGAAGGGTATAAATGCGTATGGATGTCTGGCGGCAACGTTTTCTGGCAGAAAATTGTCGGGATTAAATGAATCCGCTTTGAGACCCCATAGTTCTTTGCTACGATGCAAACGAAAGATATCAATACAAATGCTTTGGCCCACGGATAGAGTCAAACCATTGCTAAGAGTGAGTTTATCATTTTTAACTTTTCGAAATACCATTGGTACTACGGGCAAAAGACGCATAGTCTCATTTAATATCATTTCCAAATAGATTAATTGATCAAGTTGTTCCAATGTTAAGACAACATTGTCATCCTCGGGTAATATGTTTATTATTTCCTCAAAAGCACATCTCTGATATTCTTCATGCATGGCCAGTAGTGAAATTGCAAAAAATAATGTACTTGATGTGGTTTCGGTGGCCTAAAAGAAATAAACATTTTTTAATTTTAATTGATTTGAACTATTTGTCCCCTACCTACCCCGGCAAAGATATGCATTATTTGTCCTTCGATTTCATCATATTTAAGTAAATTCTGATTAGTTCCATTTAATACATGTTCTAATATACTATTAACCTTTGGCAAATAGCTGGGATCTGTTTTATTATATTGCATAACATACAATGATTCAGCGACAAGTCTTTTAAACATATCCAAACCGTCTCTAGCCGATTTATAAAGAAAGTTATCAGCTATCTTGCGAACCCAGCTTATGTTCATAACAGGGTTAAAACAAATGTCAGCTATATAATGTAGAATACTGGAAAAGTGTTATGAATGTGTAATAGCATTGTTTGTTTGTTAACTAACTACTAACTAACTAATTAATTAATTAATTAATTAACAAACTAACTAACTAACTAACTAACTAACTAACTAACTAACTAACTAACTAACTAACTACTAACTAACTAACTAACTAACTAACTAACTAACTAACTAACTAACTAACTAACTACTAACTACTAACTAACTAACTAACTAACTAACTAACTAACTAACACTAACTAACTAACTAACTAACTAACTAACTAACTAACTACTAACTAACTAACTACTAACTAACTAACTAACTAACTAACTAACTAACTAACTAACTAACTAACTAACTAACTAACTAACTAACTAACTAACTAACTAACTAACTAACTAACTAACTAACTAACTAACTACTAACTAACTAACTAACTAACTAACTAACTAACTAACTAACTAACTAACTAACTAACTAACTAACTAACTAACTAACTAACTAACTAACTAACTAACTACTAACTAACTAACTAACTAACTAACTAACTAACTAACTAACTAACTAACTAACTAACTAACTAACTAACTAACTAACTAACTAACTAACTAACTAACTACTAACTAACTAACTAACTAACTAACTAACTAACTAACTAACTAACTAACTAACTAACTAACTAACTAACTAACTAACTAACTAACTAACTAACTACTAACTAACTAACTAACTAACTAACTAACTAACTAACTAACTAACTAACTAACTAACTAACTAACTACTAACTAACTAACTAACTAACTACTAACTAACTAACTAACTAACTAACTAACTAACTAACTAACTAACTAACTAACTAACTACTAACTAACTAACTAACTAACTAACTAAACTAACTAACTAACTAACTAACTAACTAACTAAACTAACTAACTAACTAACTAACTAACTAACTAACTAACTAACTAACTAACTAACTAACTAACTAACTAACTAACTAACTAACTAACTAACTAACTAACTAACTAACTAACTAACTAACTAACTAACTAACTAACTAACTAACTAACTAACTAACTAACTAACTAACTAACTAACTAACTAACTAACTAACTAACTAACTAACTAACTAACTACTAACTAACTAACTAACTAACTAACTAACTAACTAACTAACTAACTAACTAACTAACTAACTAACTAACTAACTAACTAACTAACTAACTAACTATACATGAAAGGAATGTTTAAGCACAATGAGGGACTAGGCTCAAATGTAAACCGATTTAATAGTGAAGAATGTTATTATGATTGTGACCTAAAGTTGGAGGTCCACAACACGCGTTTTCTCGTCAAAACATTGCGTGCTTTTCATACTTTCTGCATCTGGGTAGAATCATAATTTTTTGAGTGAGCGTCAACGAGTTAAGCATTCTACGCGTCGAGGCTTCCTAAGTTTTTGCTTTTGTGACTTTCAGCATACAAATAAATTGATTCTACTTTTATGCCACCTGTAGAATACGAGAAAGCATAGAACACCTGGTGTGGACCTCCAGCTTAACAAATATTCTTATTTAGGACTTTTTAAACAATATATTTATATTTCAACTTACCCATGAAGATGTTTTGACATAATTACTGACTTAAACTCAGTCTGCTCTAAATTTCTTTGAAGTAGAGTTTCTGCAAAATAATATAAATTTTTAAAGTAAAAACTATTTCAGTCGCAATAAATTTTAGTAATTTGTTGATAACTAAGAATTTTTGAGTAATGTATAAGAATTTTACTTACTTGTCGCATTTTTAATAGTTAATTCCCGAAATAATACTAACAACTCGATATCTTCTTTATTTTCTAAACAGCTCTGAATTTGTTCGACCAGAGCATTGCTTTCTTTATGGAATATTTTAATGAATGATAGCAACATTTTATGCGAAAAAGCTTTATTCAATAATTTACGATGTTGAGTCCATATTGGTTCTGAAATTTGTTAAAAATTCATATAATTCAAATAATTATAGATTGTAGCAAATTTGAACCATACCATTTTCTGTTATTATACCTTGGCCGGCTACAGTAGTAAATCCCTTGTATAATATTAACGGTTTGTCTATGCAATTTTTAGAAGTTAGAATTTCCTTTAATATCTGGGGATCAGTTGAAATGAAAAATGGCAATGGCCCCATCCAATAAACGCAATTAGCACCATATTTCTTACCATATTCATACATGCATTTTAAAATATCTGAAAATAAATTTGTTATAGCTTTTTTTCAGAAATCTATTAAGGAATAATAAATATTCTAGAATCTTTTAGTTCTAAGGTTGGTGTTTGACTTTTTACCTTTCCCCCTTAATATTTTACCCCAGCCCAGTAGGGTGTGCCATCTATTCGATGGTACTTTATAGGCTAGACTCACAAATGCTCTGGAATACCAACGACATATAAGCCACACAAATACAATGAAGACAAAAAGTCCAAAGAAAATTATTTCCATTTTTAACAGATTCCAATGATTAAATCAAACCAACTGTACTTATTTGACTCATGAATTGTTGTATTTATATGGCATTCATAGAAACTTTTGGGAATGTTTCCCAACTCGGAAATTGCATCATAGTTCTAAATATATTTAAACAATATCACAACAACAACAAATTTCTAAACAATATATATATATATATATATATATATATATATATATATATATATATATATATATATATATATATATATATATATATATATATATATATATATATATATATATATATGTCATACAAAAAGTAAGATTAATATTAGCTTAAGATTAAGTATGGATTAACTTAATATTTTGACGGTCAGCTTTCATTCCCTTAGATAATGTAAAATATATGTATGTATATAATTAAAACTTCCATTAACTTAATTAAATATCTTTGCACCATTTTTATTGTATATTTTAATAAAATTTTGCACAAAGGTTAACTTTCTAACTATAACAATTTTCGAAATACTTTGCCAAATTATCTTGATATTTCATATAGACGAGGTTATTGACATTAGAATTTAATATTTTAACAAGTTATAGTACTATATTCGGCTATGCCAAATACTAAATACCCTTCATCTATATGTGTATTTTATTAACACGTCAAATATTTACATGTATTTACGTTTTATAAATTTTGAAAGCTTAACAATTAAGAATCATCCTTATTAATAAACTTTGATATTATCGAAGCAATTTTCTCATGGAGCGTTCTTTTCCGAATTAAAAATATTATTTTTTTTGGTCCAATTTTTATAATTATAAACTGTTTTTATACCCTCCACCACCATCAGTGGTGATAGAGGGTATATATAACTTTGTCATTCCGTGTGTAACACCAAGAAATATTCATCTGAGACCCAACAAAGTATATATATTCTGGGTCCTTATCAAATTCTGAGTCGATTTAGCTATGTCCGTCTGTCTGTCCGTCTGTCCGTCTGTCTGCCTAAAACACGCTCACGTTAAAACTAAGCAAAGGAAGTACGCCAAATTCACCGAAAATATTCATTGTTGTCCTAAGCAGTTTGGTATTGAAAATGAGCAAAATCGGTTCATACCGGGAAAAGTTATGAATCAAAATTTAAAACAACCTCGAAAAAAATAAGCATTTTTTACACATTCGGATGCAATTTTCTCGAAAATTATGCAAGATAAATTCATGAAAATCACTATACATAAGTTTCTATACGAGAACTTGATCCCTGCTCAAAATTGCCAGAATCGGTCCACAATTTCATATACCTCCCATACAAAAGTACATATTCCCGGAAAATGGGTTTTTTTGTTAATAACTTCCGTCAGAATGTTGATATCTTCACAAAATTTTACAAATTAAAATCTTATGCCAACAGAATGCATTCAGAGAAAAAATTTTCTGGATCGGTCCATAATTGGACATAGCTCCCATACAAGGTCCCCTCCCGAAAATCACTTAAACGCACATAATTCATTACCAAATGAAGATAACCATATAGAATTTGGTACAAGTATTGCTCCCACATACAGAAATATTATTACGAAGTTGTTTCTTGATCGGTTCATAATTGGTCATAGCTCCCATACAAGGTCCCCTCCCGAAAATCACTTAAATGCGTATAACTCATTACTTAATCAGGATATCCATATAAAATTTGGTACAAGTATTGCTTATCTGTATAGAAATATTACTGGGAAATTTTTTTCCGATCGGTCCATAATTGGTCATAGCTCCCATACAAGGTCCCCTCCCGAAGATCACTTAAACGTACATAACTCATTACTAAATTAAGATATCTATATAAAATATTACTCTGAAAGTTTTTTGCGATCGGTCCATAATTGGTCATAGCTCCCATACAAGGTCCCCTCCCGAAAATCACTTAAACGCGCATAACTCATTTCTAAAGTAAGATATCTTTATAAAATTTGGTACAAGTACTGCTTATGTGACTGAGAAATATTACTGAACAATTTTTTTCCAATAGGTCCATAATTGGTCATGGCTCCCATACAAGGTCCCCTCCCGAAAATCACTTAAAACCACATAACTCATTAGTAAATGAAGATATCCATATAAAATTTGGTACAAGTATTGCTCTTATATACAGAAATATTACTATGAAAGTTTTCTTGGATCGGTCCATAATTGGTCATAGCTCCCATACAAGGTCCCCTCCCGAAAATCACTTAAACGCGCATAACTCATTACTAAAGTAAGATATCTATATAAAATTTGGTAAAAGTACTGCTTTTATGACTGAGAAATATAACTGAAAATTTTTTTCCGATCGGTCCATAACTGGTCATGGCTCCCATACAAGGTCCCCTCCCGAAAATCACTTAAAACCACATAACTCATTAGTTAATGAAGATATCCATATAAAATTTGATACAAGTATTGCCCTTTTATACACAAATATTATAATGAAAATTTTTTGGATCGGTCTATAATTGGTCATAGCTCCCATACAAAGTCCCATCCCGAAATCACTTAAACGCACATAACTCATTACTGAATTAAGATATCCATATAAAATTTGGTACAAGTATTGCTTATATGCACAGAAATATTACTGTGAAATTATATTCCTATCAGTCCATAATTGATCATAGCTCCCATACAAGGTCCCTTTCAGAAAAACACTTAGAGGCACGTAGCTCATTACCAGATATTGATATCCATACATTTAGCAAAAATATACATAAATTAACCTATAAAATTGTTGTGCGATCGGTCCATATTTGGTCATAGCTCTCATACTAGTCCCCTCCAGAAAATCACTTAAATGCACAATATTCTTTACCAAATAATGATATAGATACACAATTTTGAAATTTTGTCTTTATATACATAATAGGTCATAGCTCCCATACAAGGTCCTTTTACGAAAATCTCTTAAACGCACATTACTCTTTACCAAATAAAGCTATTAATACAAAATTTGGTACAAATATTAGTTTTGTATACAAAAATCCTATTTCCAGATTTTTTCACGATCGGTTCCATAAAAGTTTCCCTTCAGAAAATCAAATAAACACTCCTAACTTATTACAAAATTACGATATAAACACAAAATTTCACTGAAATATAGCTTTTATGTACAGAAATTTAGCTTAAAGAATTTTTTATGATCGGTCTATAATTGGTCATATCTCCAATACTAGGTCCTGCCCTTAAAAGCGCTTTTACCGTATTTAACTGGTTGCATTATCAATTTGTGTAGAACAAAATTATATATATGTATGTATTTTAAAAAACCTTAAATCTTTCACACACATGCATACATGTAAGTTATTAAATATTGCTAAGCGCTATTAAAATGTAATGTTCAATAAATCTTGGAATTGTAATAGATTTATGCTGTTTAAATCTTAGGATTTTTTCTATTTAAGACATGAGAAAACTTATTTCTACAAATATTTGATAAATTATAAAAGTATTAATATAAAAGTAGCTGGTGGAGGGTATTTAAGATTCGGCTCAGCCAAATATAGCACTCTAACTTGTTTTTATACCCTCCACCACCATCAGTGGTGATAGAGGGTATATATAACTTTGTCATTCCGTGTGTAACACCAAGAAATATTCATCTGAGACCCAACAAATATTCCGGGTCCTTATCAAATTCTGAGTCGATTTAGCTATGTCCGTCTGTCTGTCCGTCTGTCTGCCTAAAACACGCTCACGTTAAAACTAAGCAAAGGAAGTACGCCAAATTCACCGAAAATATTCATTGTTGTCCTAAGCAGTTTGGTATTGAAAATCGGTTCATACCGGAAAAAGTTATGAATCAAAATTTAAAACAACCTCGAAAAAAATAAGCATTTTTTACACATTCGGATGCAATTTTCTCGAAAACTATGCAAGATAAATTCATGAAAATCGCCACGAATAAGTTTCTACATGAGAACTTGATCTCTGCTGAAAATTGCTAGAATCGGTCCACAATTTCATATACCTCCCATACAAAAGTACATATTCCCGGAAAATGGGTTTTTTGTTAATAACTTCCGTCACAATGTCGATATCTTCACAAAATTTTACAAGTTAAAATCTTATGTCAATAGAATTTATTCAGAGAAAAAATTTTCTGGATCGGTCCATAATTGGACATAGCTCCCATACAAGGTCCCCTCTCGAAAATCACTTAAACGCGCATAACGCATTACATAATTAAGATATCCATATAAAATTTGGTACAAGTATTGCTTATCTATAAAGAAATATTACTATGCAATTTTTTTCCGATCGGTCCATAATTGGTCATAGCTCCCATACAAGGTCCCCTCCCGAAAATCACTTAAACGCGCATAACTCATTACTTAATTAAGATATCCATATAAGATTTGGTACAAGTATTGCTTATCTATACAGAAATATTACTGAGAAATTTTTTTCCGATCGGTCCATAATTGGTCATAGCTGCCATACAAGGTCCCCTCCCGAAAATCACTTAAACGCGCATAACTCATTACTTAATTTAGATATCCATATAAAATTTGGTACAAGTATTGTTTATATGTACAGAAATATTACTGAGAAATTTTTTTCCGATCGGTCCATAATTGGTCATAGCTCCCATACAAGGTCCCCTCCTGAAAATCACTTAAACGCACATAATTACATTACAAAATTAAGATATCCATATAAAATTTGGTAAAAGTATGCCCGTATGCACAAAAATATTACTGTGAAATTTTTTTCCGATAGGTCCATAATTGGTCATAGCTCCTATACAAGGCCCCTCCCGAAAATCACTTAAAACCACATAACTCATTAGTAAATGAAGATATTCATATAAAATTTGGTAAAAGTATTGCTCTTATATACACAAATATTACTATGAAAGTTTTCTTGGATCGGTCCATAATTGGTCATAGCTCCCATACAAGGTCCCCTCCCAAAAATCACTTAAACGCGCATAACTCATTTCTAAAGTAAGATATCTATATAAAATTTGGTACAAGTACTGCTTATGTGACTGAGAAATATTACTGAAAAATTTTTTTCCGATCGGT